TTTTCACCTGGGAAAAACTTATTTAAGGTACACGATTGGACCATAAAACCACTGTTGTGTCTTTGAAGGTACATTTACATTGTTTGTACCTTGATGAACAAAAAATGTACCTGAACAGAACCTTTCTGACAGTGTATAACCTTAGAATAGCTCAACCAGTTTGCATTGAAGTGCCTGTAGTTATTTAACAATAAGCCTTAGTGTGTAATAATATTTTAAGGGGTTAAAGTAATTGTAAACTAAAAAATGTGCACAGGTTCCTTCTTGCCTAAAATGTAGTAGATCTACAAGACATGTTTGTGTCTGAAGTTTGCTTGTTTAGTTTTTCTAGTATAGCAAAAAAGCAATTTAGTTTCGCTTCATAGACCCAGTGCAAAAGTAGAAAGGGAAAACTTCAGACACCAAGTATATCTTGTCTGATTGATTACATCTGAGATAAGTTGACAACTTTGTGAGTTTAGAAAAAAGAAAAAAAAGAAAGTGATAATTTTTGTGATGTTTTGAGATGGTTGCCAATGACAACCAAAAAATGTAAAGGTATATAAAGGTCACAATTAAAAGTCAGATTTTCTATTCTTTCTTAAATAGAACAGTTTAAAGCAGTATGTAAACATGGCTAAAGTTTCAAAATGTTCCATTCACTCCCCAGTCTACATAGTCCATATACAAAAAAAACAAACTGCAATAAAGGTAATGCGTGGACACACAGAACACCGGCAAAAGATATTTTATTTAGTAGTTGAGACTTTCATGTAATTTTCTGATAAATATTTATTTTAAGTTTTTTCTCGATGAAGAAAAATGAATAACTTGTATTTAAAGACTGTTTTGACTGGAAATGATATTAAAGAAGGGTGGTCTTCTGGACTTCTGGATGTAGACATTTTCTACAGAATGATATTTGAAGCAAATCTTTATGAGGTCAGAGATTCGCTTACCTGCTACACATATCACATGATAGTTTCACAGAAGTTACTAAATAATGTGTAGTAGTAGTGAAAAATAAGGCGAGTATTATCTGAATAATAGTATTATTATGGAGAAAAGTATGGGGTGATAAATTAATTTAGAGTTCTGTTATTTCTAGTAACTGTGATTTTCACAAGTTTCTTTGTTTCTCCTTTTCTTCTGCCTGAATAAAGTTAAATACCTCCAGCTCATCCGTCTGGAGTCAAACATAGCTTCCTCTCAGCTAAGCAGCTTGTCGATAGGGAAGAAGAAAGAACAGAGAGAGTTTAGGCTGATAAAACTGCTTTTAATTACCCACCACTGTGCGCTGGCCCTCTCTCTCCTCACCTCTCTCTGATCCTCCTTTAAGCCATCTCCTGAGTTTGATTTCTGATAATTAGAAGTGCTGACTAGACTTTTAAATTCACACCAGCGCAAGGCCGTAACACTGCGGCCTCAGAGGGTCAGTTTGACAAACTGCCATCTGCATTTGTTTCCTCATCAGCACTCTCCTGCTGGGCACATTAACCCTGCTCCTCCATTAACATCTCTGTCTGTGTCTTACACCAAGGGCTCAATGCAAGAGGATGCCACCCCCCGTTTAAAATAAATGACCAAAATAATACCTTTTGTAAAACTGCCATCCAGCCTTTCCATCCCTATTGTATTAATGTCATTATGTAAAGTCAAAGGTCTAATGTCTGAATTATATATATATATATATATATATATATAGACACCTCTTCTAATTACAGAATTCAGCTACTTTTATGTGTACAAAATTGTATAATCTCTGTAGAAAAACACTGCTAATAAAACAGGATGTTCTGGAGTACCCAGACATGAGCCTGAAGTCACCATGCCAAATCCCAGGCATCAGCTGGAAGGGTATTATGTTACCCAGAAGTGGAGCAGTGGAATTGCCTTCTCTGGAGTGGTATGAGTTGGAGTGGCATTTGTGATCCAGACTTAATCATCTAGGCTGTTACTGCAGTAAAGGTGGGGGGACAAACTCCTTATTAAAGTACTTATATCCTGACTATTGACACGTCTGTTAAATGTGCTGGTTTTGTTACTGTGCCTTTAAGACTGGTATAAATGAGCTCTGTTCTGATTGGCTTACTTACATTGTGCCTCATTCAAAATACAGTCAGAGCTGAAACACTCCTTACAACTTTAGTGTGAATGGGTGTGGCTAAACTGCTCCTGCCTGAGTAGGTGGATATATTGCCGCAAGTCAAAAAAATAAAAGAAATGTACCAGAGCTGTCGTTCACACTGTGTAAAACTTTTACGAAGAATGGACCATAGAAATGCTCCAAGATCACTTAATGTAATTCTCCTTTCATTCACTCAAAAATTAAAGTAGCACTACATAATATTTTTTTGCAAAAACTGAAAGAAGTAGCATTACTGAGTATGGAGAAAAAAGAACACACTAAAACATGGTGTGTATGCGCCACTGTGAGTCATCCGGTAAAGCCTGAAATTTAAATGTCTGAAGTACTGACAATAGTAGATACACATCCTTCACCAAGTTCTCTTTCAATACTCATTCAACGCACTCACAATCATGAGATTAATGCACTTCTGAAGCACAACTGATGTTTCACATGTTTTGTGCAATTACATATTCCCACCAGAGAGGCTGCCAAATCCCCAAATCCTACATAGTGTTGCTTTAAGAACTTGCCTTCTCCTCTGAAATTACAATTTTGGAGATACTTGTTTTCCTTTGTAGAGATAAACTGTGTGCTTTTGTCACAAAAAAAAACAATAACAATGAATTCAGAACAGTTTTTGCAACCTAATTTTCATAAATGGACAGATGGACTGAATAAACACACACACACACACACACACACGCACACACACACTATATCAACTAAAACTATATCAAATTCGCTTATTTTAAAAAAGAAATGAGAATTGGCCCCTTTGATACCCTTTTATTTCAGAGGAAGCCTTGAATAAGCAGGTGTCTACAAACTTTTGGACATGTGTGTGACACAGTGTGTCTCAAAAGGCTTTTTAGTTACACTTAAAAAAAATATTTTAAAAAGTATGACTACACTGCTTATACACAATAACAATTAACCACAATAAATAACTCAAACCTCTGATTTTTGCATTAGATGACATTCGGTCAGTATTGCACAAAGGAAGCGGATATCCTTTGTAAAATGCTGACATAATAGAAAGTTAACCACGGATGTTAAATCTAATGGTTATGCACTTGTGTGGAACCGGGTGGCCTCAACATTATGTGCATCCAAAGTGTGTATTCACCTGCATGTTTATGTGGTTGCTCGATTTATTATTTTAGGACTTTAGCAAAAGCTCTTTTCTCTTTCTGAAACTGAACATTAATCTAATGAGTTTGCAAACATACAAGTTTGAAAGCATACTGTTTAACTTTCACCTTGAGACGAGAATAAGCTGCAGTCGCACTTAACTCTGCTGAGTATTTAAGCTTTTATCTTTTGTCCTCGTACAAAGTGTGTGTGGAGAACGTTACGAGTGGCATTCTTCCACTCCCCATTCAGCCTTTGAAATGAAGCCTATTGAGGGTGCAGCTTGGAGCTGAAATGCTCCATGGCATGGAGAGACCACACAGCACTATTGTTTTAGACTGTGATATGCAACCTGAGCTGCTCATCCCATGGTTGACAATTTCAGCTTAAAGACTTACGTCACATTGTGCATTAGCTGGTCAGTTGGATAAGATATCAAGACTGTATTTGTATAAATGTTGAAGGGAGCTCTTCCTTGTGGAGAGATCAATGTCTGTTATAGTCTGTATACTTAAGCTCTGACTAAGATCGAGTGGCTGAATCACAGTACAAAGACAGAGTGTCAGCAGCAAAGCACTAAATGGTATTAATATGTATATCTAATATCTAAAATGCATGTATATCTGAGGTTTGTTGTATTTATTAGCTCATACCAGTCAGGATTGGTTGACAACACAGGGATTCCAAAAGGTTGCATGATGTATTTGCATCACATGTTTATGAAAACGTGAAAACAATATAAAGTAGTGAATACTGTCAATCCAGGCTGAGGCACAGAATACTACACTAGGGTATAGTGCATAACATGATAAATAACTTACTAAATCTTAGTTTTAGACTGGTCTGTGCATTTAAGCATGTAAATGAGTTAGTCTAGGTTCACTTAGACTACAGACAATGGACAAAAGTTTGGATTTCCCTGCAACAACAAGTGAATATACTTTACCATTGGGAAGCTCATATTTTCCCCCAAGAATTGAGTACACTGTAATTTCACACATGCTTCTTATTTATTTTTTATTGTATTATGTGTGTGTGTGTGTGTGTGTGTGTGTGTGTGTGTGTGTGTGTGTGTGTGAGTGAATGAATAAATGAATGAATGAATGAATGAATGAATGAATGAATTAAACAAAGGTAAATAAATAAATAAATAAATAAAGCATTTGCAGCCATGACATTCATGTGACTTCTTGTAAATACTCAATCCTTACACTCTTAAAGGTTTATAATATTGGTATTGAATGACAGAGAGAGAGAGAGAGAGAGAGAGAGAGAGAGAGAGAGAGAGAGAGAGAGAGAGAGAGAGGTGCAAGATCAAAAAACAAAATAAAAATTATATACATATACGTGTATATATATATATATATATGTATATATATATACACGTATATGTATATAATTATATGTGTGTGTGTGTGTGTGTGTGTGTGTGTGTGTGTGCGTGCGTGCGTGTGTGTGTGTGTGTTTAGATTTTTGTAAACAAGTCAGTCTTTATTTTGTAAAAGGATATCATCGTTTTTTAAAAGGCTAAATCGACATTCAAAACCACATAACTTACTACTACACACTACACATTCTTCACAAAAGAATGACCGGTGGTGTACTAATATTTTTGATATACTACTAACAGTGTGTCCCAATTCAGGGGCTGGATCCTTCGAGGGTGGTAGTGTGCGGTTTTGGACTCTATGGTGCTCTATTCAGCAGAACTCTATGGTGCCTTTCCCTGTTCCGGCTAAATGTAGCTTTCTTCCGGCAAACTTCCTCTGAGTTTGTGTTGACAGTTAGCACGTGAGAAAACTTTAGCAGTATTACAGTTAAAAGATTAATATTTTAGGGCTGTTCTACGTCTTAAACATATGCCATGAGGGCCGCCTTTTACTAACCCGAAACTGAAGCGATGCCTGCCCGTCTTTTCAGAATGGAAACGTTAGTGTTGGTGTTAGTTAGCCAGCGCGCTAGCCGGTTAGCTGCGTAAGTTTAGCCATGTTGTTGCTGAGCTGCTGCTGCAGGCGGCTGAGACTGTAATCAGTTTCAGCTCAACCCCATCCCAAAAACTCACACACTCATCTGTTATGCTCTTACTCGTTCTGAATAACCTCTGCGCTATGGACACCGAAGCTATTGTGATCCGAATAAAGACGCCGGTTGGAGACATGGACTCTTCAGTGGACTGTCCTTCCCTGCTGAGCTTCAACGATTTACTGGTAAACAAAACCCTATTAACCTTATTAAAGTCTTATGAGTCCTTATAGACCTTATAGGAGCCTTATGAATCCTTCAACACTCCTAGCAGTTCCATTTCACTGCCTCACATCAGTGTATGTTTCTCAGTTCCTTTCCTGTAGCTTAGTCCTCCTGCATTGCACAGCTCAGTGTTTTGCCTGCACATCAGTAGTAACAGTAGGTAACGCTACAGTATCGACAAAATAATGTTTGAAATGTTACGCTGTCATCACTGTCTACACTTGTGGTTTTCCTGAAGTGTGTGATATATTCCCAATTTAAAGGGGTATTTCACCAATGTTTTGTTATTTCTGTATAATTCCATCTTTGAGATGTAAACAAAGTAATTCAGAGTGGTTTGGTGTGAAGTGGTGCATTACAGTGAAACAGTGAGACACTGATTTCTTTATTGTTGTATTGATGATTTAAACCAGGAGTTGTGTTGTCTATAACACAAATGTAGCCATTTCATTTGAAAATGCTTGTGGCCCTTTACATTGTTTGTAAATTTCACGATGAGTGGACCAAAAACGATGGCCCAAAGTTACTTTGAAAAACATCTGGTTAGGTTGACTTGCATTAAAAGTAAAGTGTGTTTTTTCCTTCTACTGTAAAGTTACTGTTTTGGAGATACAAGGGTTTGTTCCGCCAGCAGCGATATGCAAAGTTGATAATGGTGAAACAGTGGTAAATCTGAAGAAATATCTTTTTCTTTTGGTACCTTTTGCCTTACAAGGCATATACATGTCCACCATATATATATATATATATATATATATATATATATATATATATATATAATATACATATATATAATCACCACAAAAGTATCAGAAGATAATGTCTCGGAAAATGCATTAATAACCCTGTCATGTAATTCTTTCTGTCACATAGCTTTTAGAGGCATTAAATGCTTAAGAGGCTTCTGGTTCCTCTCACCACCATTGTAAACATTTCTGACTCTGGAACAGCACATTTCATATCAAACCACTTTGAGTTACTTTGTTTACAGCTTGACCATTTAATTATGGAGAAATTGTTAAAAATTCAGTGGAATAAGCAAAAGTGCACAAGCAGTCATTAAGTATGTACAGATATGTATCACATCTTTGTGGGACAAGTTTTTGTGGCGGTTCTGTTGATGTTAATGTTCTTCCCTGATATTTTACCAAACAACATGTTACAACATCAGCAACTTGTTAAACTGTTGGATCTTACACTAACCCAATAGTGCTATGACGGGGTGTTCAGGAAAGGGTGTGTTTAGTGTGGGCTTACACACTGTGCTTTTGCAGGCTTGAATACTTACCAGAAAGCATACAACACGTACAGAAATGTACAGGACTTGTAACAGGAAGCACACCCCCCCATGTACCATCTTTCTTGGAAACCACCGTCACTGATAAAAACTAGTCACCTAGATACATCTATTGTTGTATTGTTGATAGCAATTGTGGTCCTCAAAACAGTCCTCAGGGACCCCTCTATTCCTGTGTGTTGGAGTTGGAGCAAAATTATGCACTGTCTGGGAGGCTCTGAGGACCAGTTTGAGAACCACAGATTTATAGATCTTTTGCACTGTTAGTATTTTTCTGGGCCAAACCACCTTATGTAGTATCTAATTGGAACTCTTTATAATAAAGATATTTTTGAACACATTAAATATTTGAACACAGTAAATGTTGGTACTTTAAATGTTGTTAGTTTTTGCAAAAAACATATTCATTTATTTTTGAAAATGCAGAGTCAGTTGTTACTTATTAGATGAAATGATCATTGTCATGATTCCCTGTGTTCATGTGTGTTTTTCAGGTTGCAATCAGAGACGTCATGCCAGAGGCGACAGTTACAGCATTTGAATGTAAGCATTACTGGTTTAAAGATTCTTAATCTAAATGCAATACATTTTATTCATGTTATCAGCTGTACAGTAACTTTTAAGAGTACATTTATATTGACTGAAATAGCTGTAAATTTCCTTGGGCTTGGTAGATGAGGAAGGTATAGTAACATCAACACTACTTGTAGAAGAAAAACTGTATAGCTTGGGCTGGGAGACTAATCATTTTTATATTGAAACCGCAGTTGGAAAGAGTGTGATTTTCAAATAACAAGAGCTGCAGCTTTTATTATTGCTTTCAACAGCATTGGTTTAGCAACATACTTTTAAGTGGGGAAATTTAACCTAATAACGCTGAGCTTGTGATGAGTCAGCCCAATCAGAAGTAACCAAACACCCATGTGACATGTACACGATAACTCAGCTACAACTAACTGACAGTATGGCACATTACATTGACTGTCCAAGCTTTAAGCCAGAAAAAGTGTCTATGCCGGTTTTCATGGCCAAAAAAACAGGGCTGAACCTCAGTTTATAGAAAATAATTGTAATTTACATATTTGCAAACTTGATGCTCTTCGACAATAATCCCAGTTTTTATGCTGATGTGTACCATTCATGTGAATCATGTAGATTTAAAGCGTTTTCAGTTTTATTACACAATATCAACAGCAGTTCAAAGTGATGGAATTGTTGTGGATTTCAGGAGTCTAGTCATGAGCTTGAGGATTAAGAATCTGGGACAAATCAAGGTCCATTTTAGCACGTTAGCCTTGTCTTTAGATTGCAGAAAAAGTGGAAGTGCCGTTTTCTGTTACATATTACCATTATTATCATTTGCTACTACCATTACTAAAGGAACTCTGAATTTGGTGAATTATAGAAGACTATTCGCTCTGGAATTATTACTTAGTGCACTTGTAAAAATTACAAACATGATGAATTCATACTGTTTTAAATCTTGTCGGTAATCACTCAAATTACAGCACCTCTCCAGATCAAACTAATCTAGCTTGAATAGGGCTTTAGTTGACTTGACTCTCAGTCATTGAGCAATCTTGGTGCACTTGGTGATGTACTCCTCTATTTTAGATGAAGATGAGGTCGGTGACAGAATCACAGTTCGGAGTGACGAAGAGCTCAAAGCCATGCTGTCATACGTAAGTATTTAAGGTTTCAACTACCAGGTCTATGACAATAGACTGTCTAGAAAAGTCTAGTGCCATATTGGTAATAAATGCCAGTTTGAGACAGTGAGGACTGGTGTACTTAAGACTATTCTGTTGTATCTGGTGTCACTGGTGAGTAGTGTGCAGATTTGGAAGGACGTTTGTTATAAATCACTGTTAGAAAATGCTGTTCACTGTAACTTAGTTTGAATACTCCAAACTCTGTAAAGAGGTGATGATAAGCTATTTAGTGATGCCTGTGGATATAATAATATAAATTGGTATGTAGGTTTTAATAAGCACTCACAGATTCCAGGACTGGTCACTTCCTATTAAAGGTGTGGTCGATACAGTAATTTCCATTGTAGACAAAATGGTCCAAAGCTGACTGTCCGGCCCTTCTTCATTTAAAAAACAGCATCTGTATGGGATGTGTGAAGTGCGATCAATCTTTATTTAAAATGAGATGTTTTTTTTATTAAATAGAGTTTTATTCTTTTCAAGGAAATGGGGTTGTGTGCAAGGTGAATGTTGTTTTCGAAAAGAGAAGATGGAAAAAAAATGTATTTGAAAATAATCTTTCTTTATGTGAAAGTGTTCAAAGTATTTGTGGCCCAAGTGAATTATAATTACTGACCTCAGACTATTGAAGTCTGAACCACAGCCTGTTTTCATGTACTATTGAGTCTTGAAAGTGGTTTTGTTAGAATGGAAAAGCTATTAAAAATCTATTATCGTAGATCTATTCACCCTTGGGCAAAATCTTCTCATTACTTAGTGGATGGGCAGGGATAACAAGTAGCTACGTTTCCTTTTCTCTCTCTTTATCATCATCTTGCATTTTTGGGCTGCAAGAGTTGAAGTTTCCATGGCAACTCATGACCTCTGGCAGGGTCCTTCTCTCCTTTTTTAAATTATGCTCAGCATTAACTACACACAGTGAATGTAGCAAAATGTAAAACTAAATTTCTATTTCTTTCCTCACTGAGGTTTGAAATATCATGCCCTAAAGCACAGTGAGGATTAAATTAAGGGCAGCTTTTTATTGTTCGGTTTTAAACCTGTATTAGTCACACCATGTTTTAGAGTAAGTCTTATTTGCCCACACTCTGACAATCTCTGATGATATCAGTGCTTGCTTCTTGAAATATAGATGATCTTGCATAAAGAATTTGTTTTTTTATTTTATTAATTCTCTTTTGAAATAGCACAATGCAGAGTGAGTCCAAATCTATGACTCTGTAGGATGAGAATGAGTTTTGATTTATGAACATCGACTTACAGGCGCATGAATGATTAAATGGCTAATGGACTTTTTCTGCCATGACATGTTAATACAAGATGTTAATTTCACCTTTTTTTGATTGAAATAGTTTTCATCAATAGTTTGATGAAAATGTCTTTTAAAATTACTCTATTTTTTGTCATATTGATCAAATTTAGTATATATTAATAAAAATGACTAAAATGAGTGTTTTAGGAAAAATACCATTTTAGACAACAGAATTGTGCACATTTGACTGCAGAGGTCAGACAGACAATAAAACAGTGCATACTGATTACATTCATGCAAATAGATGTTACAAACTTACAAAAATGTCTGTGTTTTTAAGCTGTACTTGCCTTAAGTAGCATTAAACCCAGTTTGGGAGTGTGATTATACACAAACACTAACTTGGTACTAACAATTTTGAAAAGTGCATAAGTGTGCTAACGCTATATTGAATTCATTATTCAGTGTTCCCTTGTTGAGCTTTCTGGCAGTGACAGTCATTGCTTTAGACACCATGTATTACTGTAAATAGATTATTTGAACAAAACAGAAGTAGACCTCTGAAGTTGTGTGTCATGCCTGCGTTGGGAACTCCAGGGATAAGCTAGTTTTTCCTATGGGAAAGATGAATGACCTTTTTAAAAATGGCTGATATTGTGTCCTGTGGTAAATGAAAATGCTCCAAACTTAATTTTGTCTTGTGAACATTTTTCTCTGAATTTTACTGAATCCTATGACTTAGGAGGTTATTTAGTAGTCATAGGAATGATGCTACATACATACTACGAGCAAGCTAGCTGTCCAGTGCTTTGAGATGATGTTGCATTAAAGAGCTTGCCAAAGCTTGCTGGTTTGTATAGGTATTTTGGTGAGGTTGTCTTTCGTATAGTGTCAGTTCAGTGCACAGCTGTGTTAGCTTGCGTGCAGTGAAAACTTTGACAACTTAAAAACCTCATCATTTGATGGATTAGTGATTTTTTTGTTTAAAAAAAACAAAGGTGAAAAAATTTGCGAATGGCAAAATGTGTTGGCTTTGAAACATTTTGGCTTACCACAGGACAAAATAGCAGATTTTCGAAAATCGTTGAAAATTGATTTCTCCCTTAAAAAAAATCTAATATGGTTCCTGAATGTGGGCATGACTGAAACCATAGAATGATGACGTGACTTCAGATGTCTCTACAATAGTGCTAAAATAGGTTTGATTGTTTTGTTTCATATTATCGTTGGAAAAAAGTAATCAACGAGCATTTTTGAGTGATTTCACTGACGATGGCCAGCACTGATCGATCAATAGCCAGCACTGATAGAAGAAGCTGTTTTAAGTTTTTGTAGCTGTTATGTTTTTTAACATGTGCCAATTAGAGCTTGATCAATTTAGCAGCTTTGTCTTGTTATAAATTTTCAAACTGATTATGAAGTGACATCTTGAAAAAGATACACATGATCAGGTCAGCTGTGAGAGTACACCACTAAATTGCTTGAAGTTTTTCCTATATGCTTTGAGTGGAAGCTGCATTGCAGATTTGCAGCTATAATGCAGATTCACACACTTACAAGAGTAACTACACCCTAAGACCTTTTTTTCCAGTAATAGCTGAAATGCCTTGTTCTGTAGTAATAATACACCCCAGTCTTGCTTGAAATGTGAACACATCTTCTCATCAAAGTACAATGACACGTCACGGTATGCAAATCAGTCAGCCAATATTACCGCGTCTTGATGATGCTGTACATGTGCCCAGAGCCACGTAGAGAGATGGCGTTGCTCGTGCCGCGCTCATAAATATGCAACCATACAAGCGAGGGAGAACATCAGTGCTGTTTTTTATGTTTTCCTGTATATATCGTCTCATCGCGTTTAGCGTCTTATTTAGTGCTCAGGTTGTATTGAATAAGGACCTGCTGAACAGATAATTAGAAGCTAGCTGTCACGATTTTAGGGAATGTTCTGCCATTCGAACGCCTCTTACACTTGCCGTTAATCATTTTCTGGCCCTACGTTAACTCTTTGGCCACTTGAGTCACGTGCCCCTCCCGTTTTTGAACATTTTGAGCCAGGGGTGGAGTTGGCTGAAAATAGTGGGGTGTAGTTACTCTTTAAAACCTGATGTACTGTTTCAAGTTTGAACTCATGGCATTTGTAAATAAGGAAAAAACAAAAACAAGTAGACAACAAAGAAATAGGATATTTGTAAAGCTGATTTAGCTACAGTACAGTTTTGGTTAATGATGGAGCAAGTAGCTGAGTTGCTGCAATTCATGTTGATTAATGGGGCTTATTTAATACGTGTGACCAATTTACTGTCTAATAACAAAAATTCAACAGTGATCGTTGAAATGAAATGCAGTCTTAAACCTTAAATTTAAAACGTTATGCATCGCCCCTCTTTTCCTTTATAAAGGCTGTTTATCACTGTTTTGCTTATTGTTTCCCTTTGAGCCAATATTAAATGCATTCTGCAATAGTTACTGTTCACATTGCGGACGTCAGGAGTAATGACTTGTAAACGTTTCTCTCTGAAGTACAGGGGAAACTAAATGAAGTATCAACTTTTATTATTTATTATTCAGTACTTAAAGTTTCGCCTCATTAGAAGCATGCCCCCCTCTGGGCAGAGAAATTTTTCAAAATCCACTTTCAGCTGGTGTTGTCTTTTACCCCCCATCAGCTTCCAATGACTATGCTAGCCACAGGCTCAATAATCATGATTTCTGATTCTCTAGCAAAAAAGTGGATATTTATTTATTTATTTATTCATTTCTATGCCAGCTGCTTTATTACTGCTTCACAAGACTGACTGTTTCCTAAATTAAAATCAAGGTTTTCATCAAAGACATCTATTACGAAACCCTTGCTCAATGCTCTGCTTAAATAACAATATTTCAGTGGATCTGTATAAAGACGTGGAATATTTATAGCCAATTAAAAGCTTTTTTACAAACAGAGACTTCTAATACAAACATCTTTTTCTCTTATTACTACCTCTGTGCCTTTTGGAAGAAAATGCAGTGCTGAAGGAAGTGAAGTGTTTAATGCAGGGGACAGACAATATAAACGTTGCATGGATCTTTTGCAATGCATGTACGTTAAATTTTTCTCTATGCATTTATTCAAGCATAAGGGCTTTTTCTTTTGCCTACGTGGCCATTTGCTCTCCAGTGAGACGTGTGCTTGTGAATTGCTTTGATGTCATCAATTCCAGATGAGGGGATGGTTATTATGTTGAACTGGTAGGAATTAAGAGATGGCTCTTTCTAAATACTTAAGCAAAGACAAGAAACTGAAAAAACAGAAGATTGCATTGAATATGTTACATGTCACAATTGGTTTTAAGGGTAGCAAAAAGGAGGGAAAAATAAAAGTGTAATTAAAAATGAATTAACAATCAAAATACATTATGATTGTAAGTTAAAGTATAAAACATACAAAAGAAAAAAGGAGATAAATGAGAAACTGTACGACTGTACCAATACAGTCTTTCTCAAAATACATACATTTGAAGTGTTTAAAATTTAAAGTATATTTAGATGTATATGTTTAAAGTGTATTTGAGCTTGAGAAGGATGTGTATTTTGAATACATGTAAAAAGGTCCTGCTGTTTGAATTCAGTAGATGTTTTTTGGATGAATTTTAGTTCAGATGCCAGATTGTTTCATTAATTAATTCATTGATTAATTTAGTTTTTTCACGTTCAGTTTAATATACTTCCTTTCTGGGCACTGATTCTGTATTCAAATGAGAAGACTCTCATTGGCTGACTCCATAGAAGCTGTGTGATTAGGAAGAGCATGTGTGGATGTGGGGTGGGGTTGGGGTTGTCATTATGTTTATAGCTCAAAAATGGCTGCAGTGACCACAACATTGTGAAACCATATAGCATCATGTAGCAGAGCAGTGTGGCACACATAAACAAATTTTGAGATTTTTAAATTATTTTTAAACATAAATTTAATGAATTAAAATGTCATTTTCATTATTTTTATTTATCACACTTGACCAGTTGACTACCTTTTCTTCACAAACTTGCTGTTTTTGAGCTGAAAGGTACAAGGTGATAAAAAAAGACTAGGCTAGTAACATTAGCTAAGGTAACAGACCATTTGCATTTGTGTGTTTGTCTAAAAGACTGACAGCCTTTCTCTTTGCAAATTTCAAGCCAAGTGATAGTTTTGTATCACTAGCCTGATTAAGGTCAGAAAGCTCAGTACTTAAGTTTAAGTTAAAATGTCACCTACATTGCCTAGCAATTGCATTATTTTTCAAGAGTTTAACAAGCTGACATCTTCAACAGCAAACATTTGACGGGCGGGCACGTCATGTTATAAAGTGTAGGGCTTGACAACATGGTTTACTGGAAACATGGCATCGAAACACCAAAAAATTACTCTTACGTACCTCCGAAATCACGTCAGAAACAGTGGTAAAGGTGAGCTTGGTGGGTGTGGTTATGTTGGTGGAGGGGGAGCTACTACTTTGCTGTGACATATAAATGGGAAAAAAAATGCCAACAGCTTATTGAATCGCTTGCCTTTTTGAAAGAAAAATGCTCCAAAAAGACACAGAATTCACATTTCATGTTTTCTAGAATAGAATAGTGACAAGTAATGCATATATGAACTGGCAAGGAAAATACAGGTTTGTTAACTTCGTCTCTTTTAGCAATGGTCCAATCTGGCTACAGTAGCTATAAAGAATGCATTTGAGGGCAGAACTTGGATAGATCAGTTGTGCCCTTGGTTTATTAGTGTGAAACAGGAATCTGTACAAGATTCTTTTCTCATCGTGATCAGTTGTCTTTCTCCAGTGGACATCAGATGACCATTTTATCGCAATTGGTTCAAACCTGATGGAAAGTTAAAAGCATTTGTGTTGACATCACCTCCTGTGTTTTCCTGGTTTCAACTCACTAATTGAGGAACACTCCATTCTGAGTGTGTTAATGATGATGCGGTGGGGAAGGGTCTGCTCACACTGTCCCCATCGGCACGCAGCAGCAGCCAGCGTATGATCAAAATGCCTTTAGTTATTGTCCAACAAAGGAGGATTTCTTTAATACACTGCCACAGATTAGTTGGTAATTGTGTCCCTAATCAATAAAGTAGTGGAGCAGAAAATTAAAGGTGTGTGTGTGTGTGTGTGAGAACACACATATGTTTTGGAAGAGCCACATTGTTTCTGAATGACCCAGTGACAGTGCTCGAGGCGATAGAGAGAGCACAGTATGTATAGAGGAGAGTGAGGGAGGAGAGAGAGGCACTGGTGAGGTGACAGTGATAAATAGGGCTTTTAATATAACAGCTGCAGCAGCTCTGCTTCCACGGCATGTCTTCATGTACACTTATGTATTTATCTCGCACAAGCGTACACACACACACACATACACACACAGAGGATCTTGACATTACTGGTGCCCTACAGTGTTTTTGTGGGTGACATTTTCAGGATCCAACAACATAAATAATTATGATTACAATTTTTACTACATGACTACATTGCTGTAATTATTAGGAGAAATATATAGATATATTGCACGATTGTATTGAACTTTTAGACCGTAATTATAAACATGTTATAAATATGAGCTTATTACAGTAATATTTTCATAATTTTAGAACATTATATCAACTTACAATAATTACATTAATTGCATTAAACATAAATATAGTAAAATATCACACTACTATGTACTGTCACACTGTTACTGTAATTTAAGAACCTTGATTGTTATTAAATAATACTGTATTAATATAATTATAAAGCCATAGCTCTAAAGCTATCATTGTGCTTTATTATACTGAACAAAGTAATGTAAGCATATCTTTAGTCATGTCACAACAAGGACTGACCAGTGTGTTTTTAATATACTGCAACATTGCAATCACAATATATTTATAAAATACTTTTTTCCCCAATATTGCACAGCCCCACTCCAGACCCATGTTTACTTACTTTGACTTGTTCTATTTTTCACCAAAATAAGTTCAGCCGAATTCATTTCATTGTTATTGCCATGACGCTACTTTCTAATGATTGTGTGTAACAGAGTCAGAACAGTCACTATAACAGGGAAACTGTATTTGATTATTTAATTTAAATATACACAAAAATGTTTTACAAAATCATTGAATTGTTTGAGAAACCTTGATTAGAGATCCTGTTGGGTCACATAGCCAGTGTGATCACTGAGACAAGGTTGATAAGGTTGTTTTTTTTTCTTCTCACAGTGGTTATAAATCCCTGTTTACAGTTTGTCATCTGATTAATCAAAACACCTGCATAAACTAGAATTCTGTATGTTGCACTTGCATAAAATAGATTTCAGTATTTTGAAAGATGTAGACTGTCTACTGCAGCCCCTCAGGCCCCCTAGAGAGTTCACATTTTGGTTGTAGTCCTGAACCTGAAACACCTGAACCAAGTTGTAAAGGGCTGTAGAACACTGATGACCTTTCTCCAGTGTATTGGGAGCAGAAACAGAACATAAATGTGCTCTGCTCTAATGCTGCAGTTTACTGTGTAGGTCTTGAACTGTGTAGGGCCTAAATCATAACCCTGTGGCACCTCTTGTAGTTGAGCTGTTTTGTTTTAGCACAATTTAATTGCAAAAATACACCAAGACTTAGCATGCCACTACAATGACAACTACACTACAAATGTTTACTGGCTGTAGGCCCAGTTTTTCTTTATTTTTGAAGATAATTGCTGGAGATGTATCGAGATCTTTTCAATCTTTTGGTCTTTCGATTATTTGTTGTTGGTCAAAATGTAGATACATATTGCTGAGTTGACTTTTAAAGTGTTCCCTCTACATATATCATTCATTTGTGCACTGACTTTCTCACACACGCCCAAACCTACCTCCCCCCCATGTCCATCTGGATTTGTGGTTGCAGGAGGTTGATTGTGTGTGATTGGAGCCTGTGTCTGGGTACAAAGGTCTCATGCTCGACAAAGAGGAGGGGTGGCCCAGCTCAAGGCCAGATGGTTCTGTTAACACAAGCATCAATTGAAATGTCCTTTTGGCAGGAGGCAAGGCATTCGGGTTTTTGTGTGTGTGTGTGTGTGTGTGTGTGTGTGTGTGTGTGCGCGTGTGCACGCATATACTCTCAAAAAAATGAACCAGGGAGGTCATTTGACTTAGAAACTGAAAATATGTTGACATTAAATAAATTAATTGGTGTTCTCTTTGAGTGACTGGTTTAAGTAAGATGGACAAAAATTAATTTCAGTGAAATGAAAACTGTTTATGTTGATCCAAAGAGAATTTCATTCCAATGAAACCCAAATACATTGCACAGACACACAGAAAAATCTAAAACCAAACTAACCAGTTCATGAGATATTAATTACTTTTTTGAAAACGAGTTTCTCATTACTTTTTACTGTATTAATGTTTATTCGTATTTATTCAAATGTTACATAGTGTTTCAGTTGACAGAAACACTGTTACTGCTAACATAATTGGTTTATGTAGTTTGCTTAAAGACTTTTGCACGATACTGTAAACTGGTGAATACTAATGAATAATAAGTATTAAGATTAATAGTTGAATATTAAGTTTATGGTTGAAGACATTAATGAATAAGTAAAGTAATGCCTAAGAAGTAGGTTCTTTCACAACTATGGGTCAAGCTATTAACCAGATATTTGGTCTGTGCAATGTCTTTAATATTAGTAATATGATTCAAAGCATTATGAAATTAATGCCTTCATAAGAATTGAATACTTTTTCAACTATGGATGAAGCTGTTAGCCAAAAAATTCTTAACCAAAAATATGATTTGTTCAATCAAAAAATGTAAATAAATAGTCGACTTCTGAGTTTGCTAGGTAATTGAAGTTTAAACGTGCCTTTTCAGATAAATGGAATTCTAAAAAGATAGTTGGTAGAATAAAGTGTTACACCTGCATGACAGTACCAATGAAAGAAGTGCTTACTATACATAAATAATAAAGACAATGACATTGCAGACAGAATTATGCCTAAACAAAGGGCTGCTTCCAGTGACATCCCATATAGTGGTTCTCTTGAAGGACTGATATTTGTTCAGTGTAGCTTTAATTGCTTTATTAATGGAATGTGTGTCTGTCTTTGATTATCTGCAGTACTGCAACACGGTGACAGAGCAGCGCATGAATGGACTTCTACCAGAGCCGCTGCAGATCTTTCCACGAGGTTAGTGAAGTGTGCATTATGTATGTGTATATCTGGACCGCACTGATTGTCCCAATCACACTATCGTTTCTGAGTGGAATTGTGGGAGTCGTTCAGTCATCACACTGGATTAGCATTGTGATTAGGGTCTGGAACTGGAACTGGAACTCCAAATCTGTGATTTTAGTACAAATCTGCAATGTTTGTAGTCTTTACAAGTCTGACAAGTAGTAATGCATAATGGTATTGGAATCATTACAGTATCAGCAGATAATTGTTTAAAAAAGATTTTCAGCTTCGGATTGATGTTTAGATTTGACTGATAATTCAAATGATGTATTTGTTGTACTCTGCAGAGGAGAGTGTATAGACAAGACTGGGCTACAGTGCTAAAATATCAAAATTTTATACTTAACCCTCTGTAAGTGTTACATTTCTCTTTTAATGCTAATCCAGGTAGATTTAGTCCCAGTTTCTAGATTTTGTGTATATAAAACCATCAGGATTGGCAGGTTTAGGATTTTGAGTTTACGCAGGATTTCTCAGGCCTACTATAACATGCTCTTGTTTGCCTGTTTTGTGTAAGTACATTATGCATGCCTAACCATGTTATTGGTAAGCATACACCATTCTACATGAATAGTGTAAATAGCTTTCCCTACAGTGGGCTTTAATTCTTTGAGGGGCAATTGTTAATTTATCCCTCGGCCTCATTTTCTCTCCAAAGCGCTTCAAATGTTTTTTTATTGCTCCTTGTTCTCTGGCCCCAAAGTGCTTTACAATCTAGCCAATTACTTTTGCAGCCGGCAAGACTCCTGGGATCCGGAACATCCACGGCCTCAAGGTAGGTGTCCCTGTGATTGTTTCAGTAAAGTTGCCCACGGACGGTTCATGCTGCGTTCCACTTATTGAAATGTCAATTGAAGTCAGACCACTTCGCTCTTTGTCTCTGTTTCCACATTTCCGTCCTCTTATCTCATTCATAATCGAAGGCGAAGGTGTGTTGGGTTTTCTCTGTGCAGATAGTTTCTCTTTTCCATCTGTCTGGCTCAACAAAAATTCCAACCCAGCAACTCTTCACTGTAGTCATAAACATGCTGATTTCAGCTATTTATGAAATGATCCTTGAGTCGATCAACTCACAATCAGAGTTCAGCTTTTTTTCAAATAATCTTAAGCGTTTTGTCTTTTCTCTGTTTTAATCCAAACTTAATTGGCTTGAAACAAGGAGGGGGAACAGTATACATCTAAATGAGGTCTTGGTGGGTACTAATTAAGGAGAGAATCACTGCTTTGCTGGACTACACACCATGACCTAAAGACCTCAATTAAGCTAGTTATTTTTAGTCACTTTGCCCCCCTCCCTTCTTTATCGGCCCCAGTTGGTGAAATGTAGATCTTACAACAAGCAGCCCTGTTAATCTCCTTGTTGAATGACAAATAAAGGGCGTCATGTTGATTTGTAATTATTCTTTTTTTAATAAATACATAAGGATGTTCCCAAAGTTGTTTTCAATTTCATCAAGTAAATGGAATGACCTCTTTCCTCAAGCCTATCTTTTCCACTCTCATCTTCCCTTCCTCAGTTCTGTCTTCTCTTCCTTACACATGCCCTTTCTCAGCTAGTTATTGAACTGCAGATCGATTAGTTGAGGGTAGTAATATTTTTTGTTTGCCTGCAGGTGAACACACGACCTGGATCGTCCAGCAGCCGCGGACCCTCTCCTGCTGACTCTCTGCCCAACAACAGGTGAGACACTCACAAATGCCTGATTTAGATGGAGCGTAAAAAAAAGTACAGCTCTGTTCAAGCTGGATTAGCAGTTTAACCCTTTAAGGCTGACAGTTATGTGCAAACATTTGGGCGCCCCTCGTCAAAGCAACATGTTTTGTAGATTTTCTCAGTGAAAACAAGTACACATCCTCTACTGAGAACACTGAGCGGAAAAGAGAGCTCTGAGCTTACAAATACCATGTTTAGGTTCCTTGTAGAGGATATGTTAAATTATTTTCACTTAGAAAATCAACAATATGCAGTTTTACCAGGGATACCTAACCTTTGCATACAGCTATATTTCTGCTGTGTAATGTGTTCTTCTCCATTAATGACATGATTCTTAATGCTTTTGTTACGTGAAGTTGATATATATAGAACATGATCTAAGTTGAAAATTTGTCACAAACTGTTTTTTTGAAAAAGAAAACACATGAATGGCAATATAAGTCACACATCAGTCATGGTTTATTGTTACTCTCATTAACCAACACAATAATAGGTGCATACTTGTCCAAACTGGATCAGAAAAAAAGCAGAGTGCATTACATTCTTTACTTTGTATTTACTTGGTGAAATTACCTTCTGTAATTGGCTGAACTGAGAGCATCTTGTTACTAAGCATAACTGAGCATAACACTTAACATGTACATCTGTGACGTCTGAATCCAGACTATCTGTGGTAATTTGGGGAAATTACACAAGTAAATTTTATCCCATACCAATCGCCCAGTTAAATCCTGACAAATTACATTACAGAATGTCCCTGGTAAAACTAATCCAGCTCAAATAGTGCTTATTATAGAGAGAGGATCTCCTTATCAGTGACAATGATGTCACTGAAGACACCAAGATGTCCAGTTCACTGTACCTAATTCATTCCTCCTGTTTGACCTACAGGAACAAAATGATTGGACAGACGATCATAGTAAACATTCTTTAAGCTGCTTTGAAGCTTCATTCCATCCTGTTCAGTTGCATCATCCCCTTTGTTGGAGCTTAGCTGTGGAGAGCTGAGAGCCCCAAAGTCAGCCTGTAGGTTCTATAGAAACATTTGACAAGGTTTAATTGCATTTGAGTAGATAGAAAAACAGCTCTTAGCACCTGTGAACCACCACCAATTATAGACTGGTATGCAGACCACCAGTGCTCTTTTTATCCACTTCAAGTCTAAATGTTTCTTTATTACATCTAGATTGGTTTTATTCAGTCTCGCTCTAAGACTGCCACAGCATTGCACAGTTATGGGTTTCTTTGCTCTAGTTTAAGTCAATTTATCAGCCAGTTAGCAAGCATTTTATGAGCTGAAGCTGAGAAAGGTGCTAAATTATGCAGTGGTCTACCAGAACACTGATCTAGATTCATATACTACAAGGATAAATTTTTTAAGACTGGTTATTTGGTCGACATCTGACTATATTTTGCTGTCAGTATGAATTCTTCATTATGTGTCCTTTTTAGTCATGGATGAGGTTTGAAAACCAGACACAGGATTCTTGAAATGGAAATGATTAAGTGAAGATATTGTTGCGGAAATCCTAATGGCTCCTTTTTTTGATCTTTTTTTTTCCATGTTACATCATTTGAAAATGCCAATTGCCCCTTACATTATGTGAAAATTTCATGATGGGCAAATATAAATGGTCCAAAATTATTTGGAATAAAATTGAGTTATGTTAGCATACACTCAAGGTTGGGAATATTTTTCCTTCTCCTGAAAAATTGCCATTTTGATGATAGAGTGCTGATATGTTACAGCCATATGTATTGTTTGTAATAACGAGAAAGATCAAGATTTTCTTTCTTTTCAACAGTTTAAAGAAGTCCTCAGCAGAGCTGAAGAAAATATTGACCAATGGCCAGGTACTACACAGTACACTCCATAGACCTCCTCAACAGGATTTTTTAGCTTGTCCTGTATCCTTCACATACATACAATATTGAGTAATTTTCCTTTTTTTCCTGTAAGTGCCTGAGTTTTTAAGTGTCCTCATTCAAGTCCAAATGATACTTGAACTTGACAGCTTTCAGCTTGTTCTCTTGCCTGCTTTGTGAATAGTGAATCTATATGCAGCTGATGCTTTTTACAGTTCTCTTTCTCTGTGTACTTGACACAGAGTGTGAAAAGCATTTCTTCACGTTTTTAGGCACTGACCTATATTTTGACACATCCTAAAAAATGGTCAGTGTATGCTACACCTATTAAACCAGCTCCCACTTGACCATCACTTAGCCTGTCCTATTAGCTCCTGTTGACTGCCATGTGTGAGTGTGTGCATGTGTGTCACTAGATTCGTATCGATAGCCTCTTGAAGGGCTGTTCAGGTCCCTTTTCTCCATGGTGCGTTGGAGATCTTTATCTTGACTTGAGTGGAGTGATATCTGTATTCGTTTGTTGATTGTCTCGTCCCTCGCTTGGCCGACCGCTCCCCTCCTCCTCTCTCTGGCAGCACAGCAGGGGAAGCGTGGAAGCGAGACAGTGTCAGATAGACAATTAAGTGAGTCAAGCCCCCTGTGACACCTGTAACATGCACAACTAATGGAGCTGTGGCCTCCATCCCCTGGCACATGCTTGTTCTCGCTCTCTCTCTCTCTCTCTCGCACCCACACACTGAAACCTAATCAATGGACCTGCATTGGAGTGAATGCCATATTTCCCAGTTAAAACGAGGCTTGACAGCAGGACATTGACTTCATTTCAACCTCAGCTGCAGGGGAAAATACTTGTCAACCAATAACACCAGGTATTGACATGCTGCCTCCCTGGTAAACCAATCAGATCAGATATCAGTGGGTGAGATGTAGAGCAAATACTTGTGGGCAATGAGGTAAGATTGTGACTCATATCAAGTGAATGAAACAGAACAGAATATTCAAGCATTCACATCATAGTATATTCAGAAATTGAACAGTATGTATGCCTACCTTATAGGTCCACAATATGCAGGTACTATGCACAGGTCAGAGACCACCCATTCATTTATTTAATTTATAGTCAAAAGAGCCATAAATAAATATAGTCATAAGTACAAATTATAATTTTTTCTGGGTCAGAAAAAAACAGGAAACATACACATTTACACAAATTAAATTACACAAAGGCCTCTGACACTATCTATGATATCAGATCTATCAGGAGATTTCCAAAACTGGAAGGACCTGAAAGAATGTGAAATCCACAAAAAATAAGAAAATTTGTGCTAGAGTACCAAAACTGAACAATATGAGATGTGAAGAAAGGTTTTATGGACTATGAGTCTAAATTTGCATTTGGAATTATTTGAAACATTCAAAGCAGTGACACTGAAATGATAGTGGCATGGCAATGTGTGAGGCACAGCATCGTTGGTGAGGTGTTTACGGCTTAAAACTAGCATATAAAGTGTTATGTGTCGTTGTATAATATTCTGTAGTACAGCATTGCATCCCTCAGCCTCATCAGTCACTACAATGTCCAGCATGCTTTTTGCTAATACGTCATAAGACTACTCTGAATTTTTGAACAGAAGTAAAGAAATCCACTGATGTCTCAGATGGCGTGTGTGAATGTTTCCCTACAGTGTGGCTCACATGAGTGATGCAAGTCTGAAGTTGTCATAAACTTGCTGCAGTTTAAAAGTAGGGGCATTTATAAGCTTTAACGCTGTTTTGTAACTTTATTAGGTGTCTAACAGGCCTTGTTTGATCAATAAAGTAGATAGTTAACATTGACTGTCCACAATAAAGTGATGATTAATCGTAGGTACACTGCCACAATTTTCTCATCCTCTGAAATACTCCAAAAACTACGAAAGGTCAAGGAGATGGTATCTGCTGTGGTATTATGTGTGTAAGAGAGAGAGGAAGGCAAAGGGGTCACTTTGTTTACTGATGATGCAGGGTTTTTTCTGTGTCTCACTGACAGGGAGAAAGAACAACCGTCTCCCTGTAGCCCCCTGGTGTCAGCAGGGGCCAAACTGTATTACACTCTTTTGACAGCTTTTATCAAAGTCGAACAGGACCGAACAGGCAAACAAATGGTCGTTAAACTCTCCATCACTCTCTCCCCCACCCACCCAAAACTCCTGTCCTTTTATAAATTGGAAGGCACATGTTGTTATTGATCCTGCTCCCGCTCTGCTGCTGAACGTGAAATGACCTGAGAACCTAGTCTTTTATTTATGGCCTCCAGTAGCATTTTTCCTCCCTCAAATATTTCTGTCCCCTAGTGACATCTTTCTATTTTATACTTGTATGCCCTCTCCCTTTCTCTCCCTCTCTCTGTATCTCTCTCACTACGTACTCCTTTTTTTTCCCTTGAAGATAAATGAACAAGACATCCAGTACCAGGAGCAACTTGGCCATGGAAATGGAGGCACCGTATACAAGTGAGTGCTCTTCACCTCTTCGTTACCTTGAGTTTTAATTGGACCCAGCATATGCTTATCTCTTCACTGGGCTTTCCATTTCATTACTGTAGAACGGAGCCACATTGGATACGGTGTAATTGAAGCAAAAGGTCATGCGCTGTTTTCTATATGTTTACTCATCTTCTGATCATTTCTTTCACACTGCTCTCCAAATTTATTCAATACTCCAGCGTCCACTCAGCCTGACTGCATCTTCTGGCAGCTTTGAGGCGCTGGGGTGAGACGATTATTTATTTTATAAAGTGAAGGTTGCCAAACGCGGGCGATATTGATTGTGACGTTGAGGAATGGCATTGATTCAGTTTGACTCCCTGTGAAGCCGGTTTCAATTACACAGATGATCTATTAGTAGCAAACGGCTAACATGACAGGTCAGCACACGCGCACCCTCACACACAGACGCTGTTGAACCTTGCCTATTCTCTGTCTGCTATCTACTGAAATGCTTTATTGAGATTGATAACCTAGACCACTGTGGATTCTTTGTGTCATTTACTGTGAATTACATAAATAGCCATTCACTATTCAGGTGAACCAGACTAATTAAATGCATTTTATTGGATGAAATTGAGAATGATCAATGTACAAACCTCACGGCACTGCATTCAAAACTGTAATGCTTCTCTGATGGATATCCACACATGGGCACAAGAATACTTTGACAAAACCATTATCAATAAATACTGTTCGTCGCTGCATCCACAAATGCAAGATAAGACTGTGCTATGCATAGTGAACACATACGTCAGCAATGTCCAGAATCACCGCTGACTTCTCTGGGATAGAGGTCATCTGAAATTGGCTGATGCACCGTGTAAATGTGTATTGTGGTCTGACGAGTCAATCTTTCATGTTGTTTCTGGAAATATTGTACGTAGTGTCCATTAAGAAGAAAAGGACCACCCAGATTGTTGCCAGTGTAAAGTTCAAAAGCCAGAGTCTGTCATGGTATCGGGTGTATTAGTGGGTAACTTGCACATCTGTGAAGGCACCATTAACACAAAGATTTTTTGGAGCTACAGATGCTGCCTTCTAGACAACGCCTAAACATGTTCCTGTCGCAAAAGACACGTTTACATGCAGCTGGAGCTGGGCGATATGGCCAAAAATGTTATCACGATAAACAAAATTCATATCGTTCGATATCGATACATACTGCGATAAATGTCAAATCATTATTTCTTTCAAGTTTGAAGGCTGATTTTTGCTCCTCGGTGGTTAATTGCTGTTTTAAACTATCCTTTATGGTCGGAACACGACAAACATTCACCAAACAGTGGAACATTTTACCAGCTGGAAAAGCATGGCTATTTTGTAATAGTCATAATTTAAGAAAGAAAACAGATTATTTTTAGCTGGTGACGAGCGCTCGGCTACCCCGCTACAAATGACATCACAGTATTCAGACACCAGCTAGCGACGACTGGATATTCAATTGTAGTAGTTTAAGTGGTGAACCGCAAAATATCAACACTAGACAAACAGAGTCCTCCTTTTAGGTACGTTTAAACTGAAAGCGGTGCTTTTGTGTCGTGTTTGATCTACAGTATCATCAATTCTCCGTGTTTTGGAGTGACGGAGCGCTGCTTCAAGTTAGCCAGCTGCTAAAAACAGCTAGCCTGGAAAGATAGCGCTCTCCTGCTCTTCAATGCGTCACAGCTTCCTCAGTTTACTTTCATTTAAATCGGAGCTGTAATTTACATGAACCCACTTCTTTCTTTCACTTTCGTTGCTTGGGAATGCACTAATATTAAAATATGACTGTCCGAGTGCTGCAACAGCGCTTTAGTTGTGAGGATTGTGATTTAACGCTGCTAAAGCTGGTTAGGATGTACAGAAAGAGGTGAGTTCGCTGTAGGTCAGTATAGTTACACCACTGACCTTGTCACACTCGGTCACAGGAGAACAGATCGTCGGTCGCTCCACTCAAACAGGGAATGTATAACTCCGCGTTTCAGCCGTTGCTAAAGACTCATCTTACTCGTGGCCCCCTCCCTCTCTAATCATGTAGAAAACTTCAGAAGTGTGCCCTCTCCTGGCGACAGCAGAGTAGTGTCGCCTTCCTTGCAGTAGAAAACGCCTCCAAGGCTTTCGCTGAACGTGGGAGTGTGAGAATGGTGTATTATATCGAACATTTATCGAACGTGTCGTATCGCTCTATCGAGGAAAAGTTAAATCACGATAATTATCGTTATCGTTTTATCGCCCAGCCCTACATGCAGCCTTATAATCCGTTAATAATCCAACGAATAACAATGGAAATAGAATAGTCTGACTGAGGCCATTTGGAACACAATTCTGTCCGATTGATCAAGGTAGCTAATCCTGTAAATAATCCATTAAATATAAGAATAATAGCCATGTAAACGCCTGTATCCAATTGGAAAGTACATTCTGCACATGTGCGTCACGTCATAGCAAAGGTTTATAACGTTCAACATGGCAGGAGCAGAAACTGGACTGCAGAGGAGATGGAAGTTTATGCTTTGAGGTTTAAAAGACGGCGGTGGGACGGGCGTCCAGCTTATGTCTCTGAACATGAACACTTACATGTGAAGTACATTTTCCTGAGTCTGCCATAATTTTAAAGTGATCAGAAACACAAGCACTGCTTACTGCTGCTCATCTCACTTTGACAGGATTCGCGTGATGCTTGTTGTCATGGTTACATCAACGCTAAGCATTATTCTCAGCATCGATGTAATTTGCGTCGGATTACTTGTAGTGTGTAAGTAAACAGATTTCCACCAGATTGTTGAGTAGTCTTAGTCTATAATCGGAATGTATTCAATTGGATTGGCAAAAATCTTTGCATGTAAACACAGCCAATGTCTAGCAGGCATTACATTTGGAATCAGCAGATATAAAAAAAATAATAAAAACAACAACAAAACAATTAGTTATTAAAGTAAAACATTAAAAATAGTTTTCAACTGAAAACAGGTACAACAGAATTCACAAATGCCAGTATTAACATTTGACATACTTTTTGGAATTGAGGTTTATAGAACCTGTCAGCTTTATGCCTTACCTGTTTATAAATGAGTTTAAAAACTAGTTTATCCTTTAAATCCTTTAATGTAGTAAGTCCTTTAATATCAGCAGTTTCTGCATTTATGCTGTACAGTACTCAATGTGGTGTTTGAGGACAGGTCGTTTGCTTACTTTTGTTGTTGCAAAATGTCCTGGAAACTTATATCTTGAGATTATTGAGGGCCTTGGTAGAAATTTAATTAATGACACGTCCCCTGGAACAGAAAATAATTAGAGCTGATAAACAGCTTCATTTTTAGTTGGTTTTATGTTCCTTTCATTCTTTCTTTATTTATTTGTTAATGTTGTTTATTTATTTAATTTTAAAAGCCAATACTGCAACCCAAACATATTCACAGGCTGCTGAACTCAGCACAAAAGCCTATACCCCCATTTTTATTCCCATGTGAGAGAGTGCTTGCTGTCTTTATTTGCATTTCATTGAAATCAGTTATTTTAAATGCTGTTTTGGCTTTTGTTAACATGAGAAGCAGATATTTCTGGACCCATTTAAAGAACATTTTCCATTTTCCACACACTGGAAAACCTGAGTGCCTGTTGATAATGCTAGCCAGGCAACTGAAGCTACAGATCGTAGCTGAAAGATTTTGTGGTCTACCAGGTCTTGCATGGTTGTTAGAGGTTCCATTTTCTCTAGAACTTTTCATAATTTTGTAAGCTCCAGTTTTGAAAACTCAGATTTCTTTGACTTTCCCCCTCCGTATGCAAGTGGGTTATCTTAAATGTACTCAGAAATCTCAAATCTCAAACATCTCTGAAATATCTCCTGAAAATAAGTAACTAGTTAATGGTTGTTTTGACTGGAAATTATGTAAATGAAGTGTGGTCTTTGACTTTTTCTCAGTGGATTTTATATGAATGTAATATTTATATAAATCCAAGTAGATCTGTAGGAAAGTGGGGGGAAAAAAACAGAATGCATAGGGCCTTAGAAAATCAGGCTGTGTTCCCAGTCCATCTCCACCACTGTCCTCAGTCACCTTTACTTTACACTCGCACTCTTCCCCTCTTGCTGTCTTTCTCTCTCTGCGTTATGTAAAATACACACCTCTGTGACCATCACACAGGCTGTGTGCTCCACAGTGCCTGGGGTATTAGCTTAAATTGCTTTTCTTAAAAAATAAATAAGTGTGCTTTTTTCCCCCACAGGGTATTTACCTAACCTGCTGTGCCTCCAGGTGTGCTGTTATTATGTGTCAGAGCGTGAGGAGTTGATAACCCTACCTCTTGCTTACATCCACACGTTTACAAAAATAAGGGTACTTAGATTCGCCCCCAGGGTATTTAAAACCTACATTTGGAAAATAGATGCAAACACCTTACTCTGCATTTTGTCATATGCGCTTCGCTGTCCTACACAGCCTCTTTGTGCAAGTTCTAGTCTAAATCTCTGGCAACCCAGTTAATGGCTGCTTAGCTGTGCTGAGCATCCTTGAGGACATGGCAACCCAGTCATCACATGTTAAGCTGGAGTGACCAGGCCATGATCCTGGCCTTAGCCTTCAAAACTGAAGCACGTTTATGAGCCTTGGACATCCATTCACAATTGCACAGCAGTGTGTGCGGTGTTATTGTTCTGCTGCGCTGATCTGGTAATGGATCAATACAAGCCCTGTGGTTTATTGCAGTGGCCCAGACTGGACAGTGCTGTCCGCCTGCAGTGAGTTTAGCCTAACGGGACTCTTAATGCCTAAATGCTCTGACTCTTGTGTACCAAGAGATTGCTTGTTGCTGCAGTGCTTTATTATAATGAATCATTTTTGCTTTTGTTTTTTTCTGGTTCAGAAGTCATTCTAGCAGCTAGAATAGTGTGTGTGTGTGTGTGTGTGTGTGTATTTGTATACCTTTTTATGGGGACCAAACATGCTTGGAAAACATGAAATTAAAATGACATGGAGAGTTTGTGGTGATCATCATGAGGAATAATACTTAAACACAAAGTATTTGCGTGTGTTATAAGCTGTAATCATTGTTTTTTAACAGTGCCCAATATAGGTTAAAAATAAATAAATAAATAAATAAAGCAAGCAATATTTAATCTGCCGATCATGCTGCATAGATATATAAAAGCTGAAATTAACTGATCTGACCATTCATATATCACAGCTGTTATTGCTTAGTGAAGCCACTCCCACAACAGTTGATTGGCTTGATTTATAAAAATTGGAACAGTATTTCCAAGTTTCTTTCTGTTACGTGTAGGAACCAAGTCCGCTATTTCATTTGAGTCCTGCCACTAAAAGTTTAACTGTGTTGGTAAAAGCTGCTTCTTAAAATTGAATGTTGTTCTTTAAGCAGTGAAGCAGTGACAAAGTCCATGAAAAGACTAAATATCCTATACTGCATTTTATGGTGATGGTGTTATCAGAGCACCTTCAGAGCTGTAATGTGTCCATGTTTATTCATAACAATATTAGATTTTGGTAACAAATTACTTGATGGCTGCGACATAACATTTGCATAAGATGTTGTATGCTGTCATTGTCCTAACAGAGTTTGTTCAGTTATAAAGCAGTATCTTGTTACCTTTACCCATGTTTGTCATGAAATAAGTCATAATGTTTAATGTCAGGACAGCTAACCAGTGTATACTTAACAAAAAATAGAATTATATTCCATAAATTATGTCATGACAGTTTAGGTCACATACTAATTTAATAGGGTTATCTTAATGTCATGTAGCAGAGTAAATTGTTAGCTACATTTTGTCTTCTTTGTTATGACCTGGTCTAGGGTCAGGCTAAAGCAGAGAATGAGAGTGGGCTTTGTTTTAAAGTGTAGCCCCTCCCCCCAACTACACCAGCCAGGCTTCTGACTGGTTAGGTCCTCCTCACATGACTGATTGCAAAACAGGTACCCCTGAGAAGGGAGAGACCAAGACAGAGAGAGAGAGAGACACACACACACAAGCAAAAAAAAAAACAAACAAAATTTGTGCTTACTTGTAGTACATTGAGAATATGATATTCAAATACTGCTTGTTTAAAAATTTTGACTCTCATTTAGCAAAAATGGTTGAAACACCCATCCCTACTGATAAAACGGTACTTGCACTGTCGTTAGGAAGAAACAGTCTATTTTCTGCGTCTTGAGAGCGCAGGTTTGTTTTCTTTCGTTTCTCTCGTCATGCGCTGATGTTTAACTCTCTCTCTGCTGACCTCTGACTTGATTCCACACACTCAGTGAGCCAAAACGCCCCTGATGAGGACTGACTAGAGCCTGACTAGAGTTGACGTGCAAACTACAGGTGACTGTTGTCCACTGACGCTCACCGACAGTCTGGTAGCATCGGCAGGCCAATAGTCGGCTTGGTGTGTCAGGGCCCTTAGACTTTCACCTCGTTCATACCTTGTCACTGTGTCCTCTGTCTTTTCTTCTACCCCTCCCACTCTCTCTCTGAGGTCATCACCTGGTCATGAGTGATCTCAGGTGAGACAGGGAGATGGAGAGAGAGAGAGTGCATGGTCTGGTGGCTTCTGTAACTCAAACCTGTGTGTGTGTTCCGATGGGTGCCGTCAAGAGGCCCATGAATAGTGCATGACAGAGCTTTCATTACAGCAGACACTGGAGTTTAAATAACACTGCACAGAGGCACGTTTACCGAGGCCAGGACCGGTTACTGACTGTCGCTACGGTTACCTCACCCAGGCCACAGGCCTGTCAGTCTTCAATCATCCTTTCCTTTGGCTAGCTAGCAGAGTGCAGAGGTCAAGGACAGAGACCATATCTGGACCATATTAAAATCCCATAAAGTGGGCTTTATATGCTCTCTCTTACTCTCACAACTGGGCATGGCAGTATTAAATGCAGTTTGTCATGTCAATCTGTCTAAATCTTTTTTTTTTCTTTCTACAAAATTGTTCCCTTAACTGTTTTGATGACTGTTTCAGCTCTGTTGTGTGCAAATATCCTAGAAATCCATATATTCTATGTTCTTTACAGTATAATTACTATGTGCATTTGTGACATTTGCTTATCAGACCAGATTTAATAAACAGTGCCTTTGTTAAATTACATTTGATTAAACACAAGGGTTCAACCAGCAAACCAAACATTCTTAGACTGTTGCAAAATTTCTAAATTGACTTTACTGACGTGTGTTGTGTTGTTTTGTCTTGTCTTGTATAGTACATGTCCTAAAAGTCTTCATGCATGATCATAAAAAGACAAGAGTTTGCCTCACTTCTGCGGTGTCCCCAATAAATATGTTATCAGTGGGTATGTAAAGGTGTGCTGGAAGGCTCCGAATGTTCCAAGGTAAAGTCTACCCTGGCTAGGCCGGCGGGTCAAACTGGATCGAGTGTCTGTGGCGCAGATGAGGCACGTTAGCCGGCGCATCACTTAGAGGTGTCATTAATTAAAGGCCTGTGGCAGTTACGAGGTGTCTGGGGTAGAAACCAGATCAGGCATCTCTTCCAAATTAATCACACACACACATGCACAGCTGCCGGAACAACAGGGGCAAACTGGCATTCTTCTCGATTTAGTTCTGTCTTTATTTTGGAGGGGAACTCCACTCTCCCTAACCACAACCCTATTGGCACAAGCTGACATATACTCAGTGGTAACCAGTTAAAGTCTCCATTTCAGCTGGAAGGGGAGGGACATGTACTTTATTAAATTATATTAAAATGAGTTATAAGTGATTGTAACATTCCAAAAACTGATGCCACCTTCAGATTAATGCATTGTGGTACATCAATGAAATGTTACACCACTACTTGCAGTTTATATAATTGCTGTAATTTTAATCAGTAATAATTTAAACAGTGTGGTTTGAAATGCTGTGAGCTGGACACCCTGAGGTAATTTAAGATGTGTTTTTCAACATTTTAAATGTTTTTTTGGGAACACCAAAATTATTTATAGTAATTTTGAAAAGCATTTTTAACTTACTGTTTATAGTAAATCATCTGCCTGAGGTTTGATCACCACTTTTCAGATACGAGGCAATTGGAATGTTAATAATGAACTATTAACCTCATCCTCAGTGTTTTACAGCTGTATCAGTCAATAAGGAATCATCTACAGCTCTGTTGAAAACTCTGGACACATCTTGAAGTTCTTTTTTACAATGTGTTGCTAATTAATTGAACAACTGTAAAGCTCTGAAACTATCAAGAATAACGTAACTGTGAAACTATGATGAAATATAAGAATAATAATATTAGAATTGTTTCATACTTTTGTGTTAATAGTGATGACAGACTTTAGAATTGTGTTTCACATTTGAACATTTGAAGACACATTTGTGTCTCTCTCTGCCCTCTCTTTCCGACACTCATTCCTTCACCATGTCTCTGTCTCTGTCTCTCTCTCTCTCTCTCTCTCTCTCTCTCTCTCTCTCTCTCTCTCTCTCTCTCTCTCTCTCTCTCTCTTTCTTTCTCTCTCTCTACCTGCCTACCTGCTCATTTAGCATCTGTGCGTGTTTTGCCATGTTATTGTAAGCTGATCCAACCTTCAGAAAACAGAGCTACCAGTGAGCCATGATCAAGCATCATAATTAAATCATCGCCATGTTGCTGTTTATTTGCCTAAAACCAGAGGCCACTCCAGGACAGCTTGAGCTGAAAGTGGGCTGATAACTCTCATGTAGTCCCCCTTTTCAACCTTGCCATTCCTGTACAGGTCCTCTGCACACACTCAAGGAGACATGCTTGACAAGAAAAATGCATCATTTTTTCTGATTAATATTTACTTTAATATAGTGGCCCTGAAAAATTTATAGTGGCTTTCTCCTTCCTTCAATATCAAACAGACTATGTCCTTTTTCACTGTATACATAGTGGGATAATTTACTTTGTCACTTTGTTGACCTGTTCATGTCCCATGTTTCCCCAAAAATGCATTCTTTCGTAGCTGTTGCTAGGTTGGACAAGCTTTACAGAACATTAGCAAAAAAAAATCATTTTATGAGTAATTGTAGAGCACAGCTTATGTCATTTGGAGTGTGTTAATAATTTCAGATAATATTTATACATTATATGCATGTGAAAGGTCAGATTGTTAAACTAGGTTGAGTTTATTTTTCTTTTGTCATTCCCAAGTTTTGATTAGCTGCACCAATGTAAAATCCAGTAGGTTGTGAATAGGATTTTTGCCAGCATTCTGTAAAGCTTGTCCAACCCAGCAACAGTTGTGGAGAACGACTAGGTGAGTTGGTTGATTAGCTGTGTTCTGCTGCTTTATTATGGCTGTCCGACAAGGCAGTAGGATGTTATGACTCTTTACTGAGTGTCTCTCTCTCTCTCTCTCTCTCTCTCTCTCTCTCTCACTCTCTCTCTCTCTCTCTCTCTGTCTCTCTCTAACAGAGCATACCATCTCCTGGGGAAGAGGGTTCTGGCAGTAAAGGTAAGAGGAGAACACGTCTTCAATTTGAGAAGAGAAACTGAGATGTGGTCTTAGAGAGTGGGCACTTAATTTGACCTGTGAGTGGTGTGTGTGTGTGTGTGTGCGTGTGTGCGTGTGTGTGTGCGTGTGTGTGTGTGTGTGTGTGTGGAGTTATCCATGGCAGATAATGATAAATGGCTGTTAGTCTGGTGTTAATAGGACCGTACTAATTGGAGGGCACTAAGAGCAAATGTAGCACTCCATCACTTGATGGCTGCAGTTAAGCTCACCATAGCCCCAGTGACCCCAGCTGTCTGAGCTTCTTTCTTCCTTTTCACTGCTCTCTCTCTCTCTCTTACTCTCTCCTTCTCTTTTCTTACTCTGTCCTCTCTCTCTCATTACACTCAGTCTTTCTCTCTCCTCAAGTCATATGACATATCTTGTCACAAATACATTATTTATTTACACATTTATTTAGCCAATGTGTTTCCATTGTAATTTCCCCACAGTTCTTATCAGCAAAAAAAAATATCCATGTGAGCATACAAACTTTAATATAATTTAATTTCCTCGTTCAATAAAGTCTTTTCAAAATTCGCACTGAAGTAAGTAGAGGGAAAATTACCTTCTCTCTCTCTCTCTCTCTCTCTCTCTCTCTCTCTCTCTCTCCTCTCTCTCTCTCTCTCTTCTCTCCTCATCCTCTCTCCTCTCTCTTCTCTCTCTCCCTCCTCCCTCCCTCCTCCCCCCTCCCTCCCTCTCCCTCCCCCCCTCCCCTTCCCTCTTTACTCTCTCTATCCGTCCTTATCTTCTCTCTTCCAATTCGGTCTCCTCTCTCTTCTTTCGGGCTGACCTTTAACATTTGGCTGCCATGGCCCAGTTCTCCTCTCTGCTCGGGCTCCGGGCCGGGCTGTAAGCGATCTTCTCGTCCCCAGCCTTACTGCCTTACCTGTAATCAATTATTTCAATGGGAGTACGCTGATCTAACCTTAACTAAAGAAGCATTTTAGCTAATCTGAGGCTACATTACACATGTTTTTCCACTCTGTTGGGATAGGAGAGAGAGAGAATAAGAGACAGAGATACCTCATTAACTATTCTGTGTTGTGGAGTTTTTCTGTGTTTTACTTTAAGACTGTCAGTGCTGTACGAATGCTTCTTTACTGTATGTCAGAATGAGTGTTGTGTATTTCAGTATTATCAGTAAGTGTGTTTATACAACCCCGGGTGAGCTGTGTGTGTATTAGAGAGAGATGTCTTATAATAAATATGTCTTCTAATAAGAGCCATGTCCATGTACTACTTCTTGTGTTGTAGGTCATTCCTCTTGACATCACAGTGGAGCTGCAGAAGCAGATCATGTCTGAGCTAGAGATTCTTTACAAGGTCAGACCTGATCTCTCTGCTACTGTTTCTTTGTGCTTTCTCTTCTCTTTCTCTTATTCACTTATATAGTGTAATTGCAGCCAGTATTTACCTATTAGAATTTGGAATTTCAGTAATTATCAATCAGCACCTTGTTGCTGATATTGATACTTGTAACCAGTAAGTTCATACTATAGTCCTTGTATAAAGTGCAGTGAACATAAAATCTCTTCTTGCCTGTCATAATTCTGAAACTGTAGCTGACAAGTAATTGCCGTGTGAAGAATTGCAATTAACATTATAAATGTCTTTTTTGTTCATTGTGTGCAGCTTTTGGTGTATTCATTATATTAAAGTAGGAGTGGCCAAAGTGCCTGATTAGCTGATCTTGCTTTCTAGTTGTTGGTACTTAGTTCCTAACTGACCTCAGAAACAGCTTGAGCTCAAATAAACAAACGTTACTCACCTCTGCCTTTCAAGCATGGTATAACACTAAGATGGAAGTTAGAACTTTTCATAAGACTGATGATGTGTCAGTAAAATGCTCTCTTGCATGCTTTTATTTCTTATACATTTTCCTCAGCACAATGGATGAAAATGCACCTCGTTCACATTCTGTTTGTAGTGCTGTAAAACTTTTTTGACCTTTACTGGCGTATATTTATAGGCTGCTGGTGCTGTCTGTGTTTCTGATTCATTGTTTGATTGGTTTGCAGTGCGACTCTCCGTACATCATAACATTCTACAGTGCTTTCTTTGTGGAGAATAGAATATCAATATGCACTGAGTTTATGGATGGTGAGTTGTCCTTATTTTGTTGTTTGGTGCGTGTGAATACAGTGGTCTTGAATTCTGTATATTGTTTCTTGTGATCTAGTAAGATATGGTTGGTTAAACTACAATATAATGTGGATAAAGTACGTTCTATGTGTGTATGTCTGTGTTTGTACACAGGTGGGTCTCTGGATGTGTACAGAAGAATTCCAGAGCATGTCCTGGGCCGGATTGCTGTGGCGGTGAGTCTTTTCCTCATTAGCTCCTTTAAAACATTTCAGTTTTTCTCTCTCTTTTTGATTCATGTTCAGATACCTTTATGAGCACAAATTGTAATTAACTGTTACTGAAAGCAGTGAAAGGAATGCACACGGTTCTTTATACTTGTGTACACTGGTTTGGCTTTAAATGACATTTTATTATTTTCTCAAGACTTTGACAGTTTTATAGTTGTTTTTCTGATACTTTCACAAACTCTAGCATCACCCCATGTATACCACATATCCTCATTTCTAATAATCTTTTCCCCAAATCATATGTTGTACATATACATTTAATTATTTAATTAATTAATCTTTCTCATTCCTGTTGTCTTCCTCTTGTTATAATCCACGTATAGACCTATAAAAGGCATAAGGAGCACACTAATAAGGTGTTTAAGAGCTGTAGGTGTAATCTGAATAAATTTACACTTTGCTTTGTTTTGCTGTGAGCGTTAAGGATTTAATTAATGCCCCTAAGTGTATCTGTGGATCTTTGTATCTTTATTCTCTGCCCTCCTTTGCTGTATTTCTCACCATAATCAGCTGTGATCTGCTGTTTTTGCTGTTTTCAGTGAAATTCACAGCTTTGTCCACACACGCCCACACCCTGTACATATATACACACACATCCTCACATACCAGTTGCTTGACTGATTGTTTTCAAAGATAAACCATGAGGCTTAGGTTTTATTTGTCTGATTTGTTGTAATTGCTAAATTTGAATTCCTGTCTAGGTGGTGAAAGGGCTGACTTATTTGTGGAGCCTGAAGATTTTACACAGAGGTGAGTGACAGACCTCAGCACTAGTGATCAGGGATGGGACAGTTACCAGTTTTAATAAAATACTGTTAAAAATGTATAAACACTATGACAGTCATATTTCATGTTTTAATAATTCTGATAACCCTGTATGATTATAAATTAGACAGAAGAAAAAAAACGTTTTCAGCATATCGTGGCTGAAAAGAAAACCTTTTTCTCCAGATTGGTAACTATAGAAATAGTAAATAAAAAACATAACTATGTTAACATAACCAATTTTTTTATTTTGGGCACAAGATTTCTTGGCTTGGTTATTAATCTGTTTCCCCCCTCCATTTGTGTTTCTGTAGCACATCTCTGATTTTCTGCAGCCACACCCACAGTAAAATAGCCTCTCTTTGCCCCTTTGTACAGAATAAAGTGTGTGTTTCTGTGTGCAGATGTGAAGCCTTCCAATATGCTGGTGAACACTCGAGGCCAGGTCAAACTCTGTGACTTTGGAGTCAGCACACAAGTATGTTCGACTTTGTTTTGCAGTATCTGTGTCAGGGAGAGCCTGTTTGCACATACACCAATCTCAGTCAATCTTGGTCATGATCTCTCCATTCTCTGCTATAGTTTGCCTGTCATTCTTATGTTTCTCCTTGGGGAATTTTATGTTCAATCCCTAAGCCTTTCTCCATCACTCACGTCCCTCTCAACTCTCTCTAATTACCACACTGACCAGTCACGCTGCATGTGCATTTATATAAGATGGTATGCATGTGGTGACAATAGCCCAGGCTGAAAGAATCAGCGTCGTCTTCCCCCTCTCCAATACACAAAGGAGTCTAACAATAAAAACCCTGTCACTCCACACGCCTCTCTTTTAATTATTATTCATCATCCTGTCCTTAGAGATACAGTCTATGTCTGACCCATAGTTAAGGTAGGATACATATCACTGTGTGGGTTGGGCTTCCTTTGCACGCACACACACGCACCAGGCCATAGGGGAACACTCATTATGTTTGCCCTGTCATTGATGGCATGTGCCATTGTGTCCTGTCTTCTCTCGCGTCGCCCAGTTTCTACAGGCTCTCCTGAGAGAGAGAGAGAGAGACAGAGAGAGAGAGAGAGAGCAGAGAGAGAGAGAGGCAGAGAGAGAGCGACTAAAATTACACCAGGCAGACATTTCAATAACACTCTAAAATAACATGCCGTGCCGTGTCAGTAGATTTACACTCATCTCAGAGTCCCTCTGTAGACCTTCTCTCCCCACAGCTAAGAGCTGAGGTCACATACTCTTCCCTCATCTATATCCTCACTCTCAATACGTCCAAACACATAAAGCTGCGCTCTCTCTACATCATTGAATGTGACCCTCCGCTCCATTATCCATCAGCTTAAAGCCATTACAGACAAATTCAGCTCAGGCTGAAAAGTGTCTCTAAAATGCAGGTCCTGGATCGGTCTCCAACAACTGGCTCCTAGCCTTCACTTTTATGGAGAGAGAACACTGATCTGAGATCAGAATCTGACCAGTGAGGCTCTAAGCAATAATCTGTACAGATCTTCCCTTACCCTAAATGTATTTAATCATCAAAGACATGTTTGGCGCCTGAAGTTTGTTTGTTTAGCACTGAAGCTACAAAGTTGATGTAGCTAACAAGTAATAAAAGCTTTTACACGTCACTTAACATTGTGCACACTTGCATCAAAACAGCTGTTAGAGGGAAACTCTGGAAACTCATTTAACCACATGTTCTACATCTGTTGTAAACATGCTTACCTCCTACTGCAGTACAGTAGTAGTGTCTAGAGTGAGATTTTCCACTTTAAAGGCTTGGGAAACCCCTTCTGATGGTGTATTTTGAATGTGGGAGGAACTATTGAGAAAGCTCACATTAGCTGGTGAATGCAGGAGTTAGGCAGATAGCTAACATTACTGCTAGCACGCTGAATATCTTATTGCAGCCGCATAACTGTGGTAACTGTTTTCAAATCATCGTTACAGTGGAGAGAATGGATTTCTAAAATGATATCACTAAAAGTCAGCAGGTTAACTATCTGGCTATCTAGATACCTTACCTCAGTTTTGCTTCTTTTATCTGCCTAAAAGGGTAAAAGAAAATGTCTCTGGCATCCAAGTTTTGCTGAATAAAAGTAGAATCACTGTTTTCTTTGTCATTTTGTTCAGTCAAGGTAAGGGGTACACTAGTGTAGCTTGGTTGTGTTTATTAACCTGTATCTCAGTGGCTAGGCTAACAGTTAGGACTGACACTACAGAGAACTCCAGTACTTGTTTAGTGTGTTTGTGTAATCTACGCTGGGTGTTGTAGTGAGAGAACGAAAATTGATGAAAACGAAATAAAATATGAATATAAAATTAAGAGTTCTGTCAAACTGTTGAGGCAGAGAGATACTATGCTGCACACAGAATATTGCATAACACAACAAATAACATGTTAAATTGTAGTTTTAAGCCAAAGTGCCTCTTACATGGTTCTTGACACTGTTGACAATGTTATCTTTACAACTGAACAAAAGTACATTGCATAACTAAAAACAGTGATTTTCCCATACTTTTGTCCATTTGTATGTCTTGTTTGAGATTACTAGACACAATTGATGTGGGTGGTGCAAATATAAAGAAACAGAGTTCCAACACCAATTGTGATGAACTGCATTTGGGGCAAGGTGAAAATTGTATAAATAACTAACTGATTTTTTTTCTTGGTACTTTGGATTTTCTCATTTTGAATCTGGGTGAGCAGAGGCATGTTATTTGTCTAAATAAAGGTATATAAAATTGATTTCTGCCTTTGCTTTCCTCTTCAGTTGGTGAATTCCATCGCAAAAACCTATGTCGGAACCAACGCATATATGGCGGTAAGCAAGACAAGTTTCATCTGTGTGCTGAATAGCCTCCTTCTAGCCTTCAGATTTCTTTCAGTTTCATATAAAGGGATGCAAGTCATTCAGCAGATGTCTTAAATCATTCTTCTAGATAAATATCCTAAGCAGTGAGTTTCACCCGTGTAAATCTTCAAATGAGGACTGTCAGTGATGAAATAGGCAGGTCACTAAGGCATACTTGCGAAAAAAGACTTTCACTGCAGAAAGAATGCCTCCTTTTACATTTACTGAATTAAAAAGGACCTTTTTCCCCTTTGTACTTTCCTAACAGAATCTAACTTGTGAAATTTTGAGACTGTAACTGAGCTGCCTGTGATCGTCTCATTGGTAGCTAATCTTTGAACTTCCAGGGCTTATTTGTGGGCCACACTTCAATTTTTCAGTGTCATTAACTACTTAGCATCCATAATAGTTTCCCTTAATTTACTGAATAGTTCATAATAGTGAAATTATAACCCTACACTAAGAAGTTAACCACATCCATTATAAACTTTCATTTAAAATGATTTGAAGTGTTTAGACCCACTGCTGCTAACACAGCTTCAAAGAACAACTCTGCATGCTTGGAAAGGGACATCCTACCCACACACCAGAGTGCAAACTTGAGATTTCCATATGATGGGGCCAATTTAAGGCCTAATTTAAGAGTTTTATAACAAATTTAATATAAACTGACCTAATAGTCTATAGTGACAGTAGATTGTAGGCTAATTTAACATAGTATTAACACGTTAACGTATAATTACATAATAATAATAATTCGACAAGTAGTTTAACAAGAATTTACTAAACCTAGAGCAAAGGCTACCGAACCACATTGAGAAGAACCAGAGCTAAGAACAAATGGAAACGTTTACTGTAGGGCAGTGTTCATGAGGCTATATGGCACCAACATAAGCTGTTCATTACAACTGACATAGACCTAAATGCCTAAATGATCATTTATAAACACTTTTTCCAATAAGCGACCTGTCCAGGGTGTTTTCTGTCTTCCGCCCAGTGTCCACTGGGATAGGCTCCAGCACCCCACTGTTAGGAAGGATAAGTGGCTTAAATGATTTATGTGTGTGTTCCAATACGTGTAATTTGTCATAAAGCATTTCATGACAACCCAAAATCAGAAAAAGTCAGCCTTATCTGTATTGTGAACTTTTGAGCTGCCAATGCCTATTGGATTAAACCTTTATAAAAATTTAACTGAAGTTGTCATGACGATATTATGTGGTGTCATGTATACTGAAAAAAAAATAATTTACATGATTCAAATGTGTACATGGGTTCCACACAAATTAAATGTTACATCAACTTAAATTAAGAACAGACACATAGTAATGATGTTGATGTAACATATTTCATGTTAAACTAATGTACACATTTGAATCATGTAAATTCAAAGCAACCCTTAAAACTTTTCCCCCCAATATGAATACTGCCCTACTGTAAAGTGCCACTGACCAAAGCAACATTTCAAGTTTCTGACCAGAAACACAAGTGTGCTGAACATACATATCCTGTTGTCCAATGGCAGTGGCTATAGAGTGCAATTGGAAAATGGTACATTGCACATGATCTTGCAAGCCTATATGCATGCAGCCTTGCTGGCAATTCAGTTACATGGCCAGATTACCAAATTCTATTTCATTTATGTTCTGTTCTAATACTATTTCTGCTTGCTTGTATTTCTGTGTTTGTGTTCTGAAGCCGGAACGAATATCAGGGGAGCAGTATGGCATACATTCAGATGTATGGAGTGTAGGAATCTCATTCATGGAGGTAAATGCTTCTTTTCTGGCCTAATACACTACATATACATAGTGCAGCTCAGCAACCAGAAAGGCACATGTGAACTTAAATGCAAGCACCTAAAATGCACCTCAATAATCACTGTAGAAACTTCTGTTTGTGTGGTGTGTGTTGACTTGTTTAGGCTCAAGATCTTGTTTTATTTGTATATGGGTATTAGCTTCTGTCGCTGCTGTGGACCGTTATGCGTGTGTGTGGTGTGTGTTAGCAAAGAGGTATTAATAGTCCCTGCAGGCAGCCTGTCCAAACAGATGTTGGCCTGCAGCTATGCATGGATCACACTCAGAATCTCCCACTGACAGCAGTAAAGACCCACACTTGCAGGCGCACAGACATAACCTATCCTCTTTTCACCCGTTGCCTCCTTTTACATTTTCTGACATGATTGTTTCTTTCAATCTGTCTTTCACCTTCAGCACTTTCTTCAACAGTATTCATTTTTAGTTTTAGCCTTGTTGATAGATAATAAACTTTTAGCAGCCAGCTGGTATTACACAGCAACAGCCAAGCAACAGCTTAGCAAGCACTTGGGATAGCATAGCAACACCCTAGCAACACCTTAGCAACCACTTGGGATCACTTAGCAACAGCCTGGCAACACCTTAGCGTCCACCTGGAATACGATAGCAATGACCTAGCAACATTTTAGCAACCACCAGGGATAGCAAAGCAATGGGCTAGCAAACCTTAGCAATCAGCAACAGCCAAGCAATGCCTTAACAACCACTTGGGATAACATTGCAACAGCCTAGCAACACCTGAGCAACCACTTGAGATCACATAGTAACAGCCTGGCCACACCTTAGTGACCACCTGGAATAGCATAGCAATGGGCTAGCAACACCTCAGCAACCAGTAACAGCCAAGCAATGCCTTAGCAACCACTTGGGATAACATAGCAACAGCCTAGCAACACTTTAGCAAACATTTGGAATTACATAACAATAGCCTGGCAACACCTTAGCGACCACCTGGAATACGATAGCAATGACCTAGCACCATTTTAGCAACCACCTGGAATAGCATAGCAATGGACTAGCAACACCTCAGCAACCAGTAACAGCCAAGCAACATCTTAACAACCACTTGAGATAACATAGTAACAGCCTAGCAACACCTTAGAAACCACCTGGGATTACATGGCAACAACCAAGCAACACCTTAGCAACCATCTGTTATTACATACGACAGCCTAGCAACACCTAAGCAACCACACATTATTACAGAGCAACAGCTTAGGAACACCTTAGCCACCACCTGTTATTACATAGCAACTGCCTAGCAACACTTTAGCAACCACCTGTCGTTCCATAGCAATTGCCTAGCAACACCTTAGCAACCACCTGTTATTACATAGCAACTGCCAAGCAACACTTCAGCAGCCACCTGGGATTTTATAACAGCTTCTCAAGCCAACTTGAAATTTGTTCACAATTTGTTGATAATAATTGCTGCTGTTTTCTTCAATATAATAACATATACGTCACAATATTTTACCTGGATGTTACAATTATCATCTGATACCATGGTACTGTAATGTATTTGAAAAATATTGTGATGTTCAATTTTAACACCACTACTGTTCAAAAGTTTAGAATCATTTGTCATAATAATTGCTGTTACTCAGTAGTAGCCTATACAGTGCACACTGAAATGCTGTAAGTTATTATAAGATGTTCTTTTCACACATTTCATGTGTTTAAGAACATCAAGAAGTTATTGATAGGTCATTAAATTCTAAATAATATGATTTTATTATTTAGTTATAATGATTTCTTGATACGTGCTCTGCTTCAAGATCCATTTTCCAGTTTTAAATGCTGCATTCTGGATATTAATTTTGTTTTAATTTCATTTTCATTGCTTGCAGCTTTTTCAGTCATTAAGCAATTGTCTGCTTGAATGCAAGAACCAAAATGTTGTTCATTGTCAACACATCTGAAATGTCTTTTTATAGCTTTCTACTAATGAGTTGAATCCTATGAGGTTGTAGAGTAGTAATATCATAAAATCGTTTTGTCCATGTATCTTCAACAAAATTGTTTTCAAATTAATGAAAACAGCAAATCCAAACGTTGGAATTGTGATTCCATGTCACAACACTCTGAACAGTGGTGTAATTCTACGGCTACACTTCTCTTCACATTCACTGAAGTGTGTGGTGTGGCGTATATGTGTGATTTTTGAGAATGTTTGATTAATAGAGTGGGGAGGTGTGTTCACTTGTTTCAAAATGAATGGCTTTGATAGAATGAACAGGATACGTTTTGAAATACCACTTGCACTAAATTTGCCATGCTAGTAATTCACATCAGCTCTATCGATTTTTAATTTATTATTGTCAGCAGCTCTCGGTGACTGTGACAAATAGCCGTCCTGAATTTGTCAATACTGTTGAATATCTTGACAATTACAATAGTCATTGATTTGGAGTTTAAAAAAATATTATTGACGACTTTTTGTTGATAATGATAAACTGTGCTTCGGGCAGTGTGGTCAGTTCCGCCACTCATGCCTTGCACGACAGTCCGAATGAATTAGCCAATGAACTTTACAGTGTAATTCAGATTAATCTTCTAAATGCAGCCAACAAGTCCACGACCTAATCCGGTTCAGAGATTATGTGTGAAGATAATCTGGTTACACTATTAAGTCCCATTTAACTAAGATGAAAGCTGTCATGTAGACTTTTGATGGATCGTCACATTGAAGGCAACCTTTTAAAATCAGACTTTCATCTCCACCTCTCTTTTTTTGTCTTCTTGAGTCTTTATCCTTCTTCTCCTTCTCTTTCTCTCTTAGCAGGGGGTCACTGGGTAGGAATTAACTAATGGCTGCCACTCTTTGAGCGGCTAAAGTTCAGGTGTGCAGCTCTGCAGCTCGTCCTTAAGTCTTCCTTTTAATCCAGCACATGTCTTAGTCCCTCTAAGCCTTTGCTCATTTAAACACACCTGCGGAAGAGGCACAAGCTGCTCCGTAAAGTGAGGATAACGCCACTGCTCTTAGGGCCTGAGGAACAGGACTACCTGAAATCTATTATTTTTTTAAACTCTTAAATGTTTAAGATGAGTGGAACTTATTATTTATTAAGATGCATTATTTTTTTTTTTTTTAAATCTTTAAAGTGTATCTCAGAAGGGTTGCAATGATGAGCCACTTAGTTGTCAATGCCATAAGTTATGGAAAAACTCAATAGTGTTCATTGTCGCTGTCATGTCAAAATCTTGCAACTCCAACTTTTTTCAGTTTTTAATGTTTTTATAACATTTTAAAACATTAGCTGCTACTTACATTATGTAAACTTTTGTAAAACTCCTTGCATGACTAAAATTAAAGAGCCACATCATAGAAAAATAGCTTTTCCTCATTTTTATGAAATAAAAGTTTGATGCAGTATATAAACATTGTTGAAGTTTCAAAACATACCACTGTTCGTTTCCCAGCCCAGACAGTCCATTTACTGAAACTAAACTGCAAAAACAGTTTTGAATTCATTGCTTCCATGATGTCTCAAAAACTAATTTACACACACAAGCCTATCCAGCCTACTGGAGTTTAGCCCCACCTATTCATGCCACAGTTAAAAATTTTTTTGAATGAGGCAAAATACAGGGCAGCCAATCAGAACAGAGAGAATTTACATATGTCAGTCTTAAAAGTGTAGCAATAAAAAACAGCCTGTTTAATTCTAAGAAATAGAGAGAAGTTGATGACTATTCTTTATATAATACCACACAAATGTTATAAGTGGACCTGGGGGAAAAAAAAATAAAATGCAAGAAAAAGGTAGGATGTGGGTCCTTTTAAGAATTTATTTTCCTACTTCAATGTAGTTACAAGTCCAGAGATGCAAGTTATAGAATAGAATATCGTAGAATAGAATATTAATGTTCAGCAACATTGTATATCTTTCTTTATTCTCATTCTATGACATAAAACAATTACAATAACAAAAATGTTACACATGGACATTTCAAACCATTTCAATTTTTTTTTCAAAACAAATACGATTTTGGGTACCTGCCGATACCATGTTGAGTAACGCGGTGTACCTTAACAGTAAAACTGTTAAAATCTAGTTTAAATTAAGTGCATTAGCTAGCTACATTACATTACCTTGGATTGAGGGGTGCTGCAGTGGAGTTGAGTGGGTTTTGTTCCACATCAGAAAACTGCTTCTGTACAGCTGTGAGAAAAGTATGTTTCATAGTTTTGATCCCTACTCTTCATCTGTCTTCATTGTCTTAACAACAATCTCTGTAGCACAGTGACAACAGGAATCACATCCAAAGCTAATGCATCCGAGGAGCTCACTTGTTTTACGCCTTGTTGGAGTCTTTTTAGCCGGTTGGCTGGTGGAGCTGTAGTTGAATGTGCTCTAAAGCCAGACATACTGTGCAAGGTTAGAAATCTTGTTCCATGGTGACTCACGCAGTATTTTTGAATAGACGATTGTGTATGGATAAAGCCTACGGTTTACATGCTCACGCTGATTGGCATGCTGTGACATGGGTTCTCCCACTGCACATGAAACACAGCCCCTACAGACAGCTTTGTTGACAATTGACAATAAGTTTGCTTTTCCTTCAAAACAACACAAAACAACTGTGCACCCGAGTACCAAGCAAAAATGATGAGAAACTGTGCTACAGAAGCTTTGCTAACTTGTGCCACACTGTGCACTCAAACTAAAAGCAGGCGGTGATACGGTAGGACAACATGGTCTCTCTACGGCCAATTTTACGAAGGCAATTTAAAAAATCACTAAAATAAATGAAAGAGTAAAGTTGACATATACAGACATGCTACAGATGACAAGTTTTTTGCCTCCTTTTGTTAGATGTGTCAGCCTGTATTGGGGAAGTGGTTGTGATTGTGTTTCTTCGTGCTTAAAAACAAAAGTCACACAGTGTATACCTGGCAGAAATGTGCCAAAGTGGAATGTTTAAAGGGACCTGCGGCTTTGCATTCGACTGCCACGGCATCAGCAACACTTCACTGAGCGAGCAGACCCTCGTTCACTGCTAGCTTGAGACGTTTGTTCATTAGCGCAGCAGCATACGCTAGGATTTTGTCATATAGTATCAGGTGATGTTGGATGTATCTGTGTATTTTTTTTATCACAATAAGTACGAGTAAATGAGCACGGACAGATGGTCAATACCAGTATTTCAGTGCATCCCTAATTCCGACAGATTGCTGTACACTACAAGAAATGTAGGGGGCAGTGTACTTTCTATTGTTTTGTTTTGCCATAAAAGAAGAAATTTTTGCAAAGACAGAACTTTGAATGATGTGGCTCTGTGATGAAGTCAGTTCATCGAAAGACAGCTGATAGACTAATTGATTATAGAAATAATTATTAATTGCAGCTCATAATCTAAAGTTTAGTCACAGCATTTGTGTGTCTGTATCTGTAATTCTTTCTCTTTATTTTTCTTTTACAGTTGGCGCTTGGCCATTTCCCCTATCCACAGGCGAGTATATATCTATAATCTATTATCTGTGCCTTTCTCTTAGCCTCTACAAACGTAATGTTTTCATCAGACTTTTAAAGACCCTGGTAGCCCTGTAATCTCCCGTAATCAGTCTCTGTGTGGCAGTAATTACCTTCCTTTTGTTTGTGATCACGTTGCTCATCTCAACCCTATTTACCCTTTTACAATCCTGCTGACCCAGTGGATTCCTCAATCCCATTAATCCCTGTAATCAGATTTCACCTTGGGATTTTTTCCTGGATTAACCCATTCTTAGAACCCCAGTCCTGGATTATAATCCTGGTCCAATCAGAGGTCTTCTTCATTTAGGAGGCACATTGTTAACTTGGAGGCATGCTTTTGTTGTTGCTGGCAGGTTGAAGGGCAAAGTAGGTTTAGTGGAGCTGTGTGCAGGTGATCGCTATGTTGGCCAACAAGCGGAATATTATTGGCACATAGAGGTAGAAAATGTTACTGCATTTCTTTCAAGGTTTAAAACTGGCAACAGCTGAAACTGTTTAGATCATCTTCATTCGTTGGATTCTGTATATTGTTGTTGTTGTAACTCTCATATCTGTCATACATCTGAAATTGCAACTTTATAAGAGGAAGGAAAAAGTAATGTTTTTAACTTTAATGTATGTTAATACAGCAAGATTTTATTGCAGTTTATTTTCAGTTGGTCTATTCATTTTATCAGTCCAATCACGTAATGTTTATGCAATGTAAAGGGCAGCTGAATGTTAAATTAGGATGTTGCCACAACAGGCACACTGTAATGGATCAGTCTGATCTGGTTCTGATCCTTTGTGTCTTGTTTTTACCACAAGCAACATGCCACCAGAAGCATGAACAAAATGAATAGTTTCATTCCAAAATGCTGCATTTTTGGGAAAAAAACAGCTGATTTTAATTGAAAACACAATTTTATTTCTCTAGTAAAGGTCGCAATAATCACAGTATAACGTAAATGATTCCTGGACATGTAAACCCCACTCCTAACAACATATAAAAAAATGGAATTCTGTAAGCATAGTCCATGTTTTTTCACTCGCGAGTCACAACCATTTGAAAGTGATGCTATTGCAGAAAAGCTTTGCTGTAGTGGACATACTATTTCTGGTTTAAAATCAATGATAGCAATAACAATGTCAAAAAACAGTCCAGACACATCATGCACGTAATAAAAAGCAAGTAATTTTATTGTAGCATTTATTGCCAGTCAAACATATCTACATTACGTGACTATTATTTTTGAAAACACAAAGACTGGACTGGATCAATATCGGCAGATGCTAATGTTAATTCATTATTTTTGCATTAGATCAGGGTACATCCTTAGATTAAAAAAAGAAATATGAGCCTTTGATATGACAGTGATGTATCAAGACCTGCTTTGTATGTCTGTATGAAAGTATGTTGTCTGACACACTGTAAAAGTGCAGTTTTTGGTCGCTAAAGCCCTCTGGAAGTGTGCAGGGGCTCTTTAATGAGGGAAGTGTTGACTAATGCTCAATAAATTACTCCCAGCATGCCTGTTGGGTTAATTAGCATATTAAACTGAAGCAGCCACTCAGGGCAGCTCATGGAAAACAGGAAGGAACACTCAATAGCTGCTTCCACTGCCAAGACCTTGAGTGTTAGAATGGATGCGGTTAGTTATTTATAAATGTGGCATTGTGGAATATCATATATATGCAACCAACATTAAGCATAAGAATGTCATGATACTGTTGGTGTTTATCCATTGAAAGGTGTATCACTGCATTTAGTTATTTGAGTGTGTCTGTACAATGTATTAGCTCTTAGCCTGAGGCATATCTCATTTGTAAATGTTTTCCGTGTCTCTCCTATGACTGTCTCTTGTCATGTTAATACAGTGAGTGCTAGTACATAAAATAATACACGCACACACACAATGACAGGATGTCTGTTGCTCTTTTGTACCATCAGCAACATATCTGCCACTTTTCACCATCTGATGTTGGTATTTAGAACAAAAATAGAGTGTAGTTTTTAAGTGACTGGACAGTAATGCAGATTCTGTTATTTTGTACTCATAAAATACTCTTTGTATTTTAAATGGCACAATTACTATGAGAATAAGTGCAGAATATCAGCTCTAATATGTGCGTATTATATGTGGTTAATCAATTAGGACCTGTAACTGTTTTTATTAGGTCTGTCAAAGTTAAGATGTTATTTAAAAAAAATAGTAACAGTAATTCCGTTTGCACAGTTTGACCCCTCTGTAGCAGTTCAGGCTGAAGCTCAGCTGCACTTGTGCTGTGTGTTGCTATGGTAGAATTGTTGCCCTCTCATTTATATACAGCTTTTAAATGGCTTTTACCTCCAGCAGACTTTGCTAAGCAGTGCTCACAGGAGATTTAGGGTGCTTTCACACCAGCCTTGTTTGGTCCAGACTCTTAGACTTTTCAGTTTGGTCGGGAACCAAAAAGCAAGTGTGACAGGTGCCTCGGGCCACAGTGCGGACCAAAGGACCAAAATTTGGTCCGACCAAACGGGTGGTCTTGGTCCAGATCAAACTGGTCCATGTTTGGTTTGTTTGCAGCGTGAAAACACTTTTTGGATGGTTTGGACCAATTACAGGAAGTTGAGGCAGGCCATCATCAACCATTAAAGAACAGAAGAATAAAAAGAACCGGGAGAGAAGTAAAAATTAGTCACGGTAGTGCATGGGGAGAGGAGGAGACGAAATATTTAGTTGTAATTTGGTTCAACAAAAAAAATTTAAAGTCAACTTGAAAAATAAAAATGCCCCAACTTATTCCTTATTTTCTGAGATGATGAGAGAGAGGAAATTCATTTTTCTACATTCAAACGGAAAAGGCTTCCCACTGAACTGACAACACGCTGACGTCAGACGCATGCTCTACTACAAACAGATCAATGGGCTTCGTTCACCAACCATTTTGTAAGATGAAATTTCTTCTTAAAATCCACTTACCCAGTTTTCATGAAGATTCTGATATTCGCCAATGATTTCTTATTTGAGATTTGTTCTTAGGTAAAAACAGAATCTACACACACTCAAGAGCACAAAGGTGCAAATAATTCTGCGGTTTAGGAACACGTCATGAATCGTATGTAGACTTTTTCTTAGGACGTTTCTCAAGAACACATCTAAGAAAAAACTTAGACATTGATGAATGAGGCCCAGTGTTAAGTATAGGGAGATGCAGTCCACATAGGTGATGACAACAGGACATAGGTATGTCATGCAGTGCACTCACTAAATTGCAGTGTGAAACTAAAACTAACTGGATCAAATATATGCAGAGTAACAAAAATATGAACCTTGGTTTGGACCTTGATCTGGACTTTCAGGTGTAAAAACACTCTAAGTGTAAATCAATGAAAACCAAACTACCAGGAGCAGTAGCAAAGTGGAAATCTATGGTTCGCATATCCACATATCCAGCGTATCAAGAATCCATATATATATATATATATATATATATATATATATATATATATATATATATAAGTCATCAGATTCATATTGATTGCGCATGTGACATCTGCATTCGGAGCTTGTTACTTCTCAGAATGACGACCGAGGTGTTGATGCTAATAAACCAGGAAAGCATAGGTTGAAAAATCTGAATAAATCAAAATGAGACAAAGTCTTTTTTTTGCCTTTACACTGTTGAGCTTAGTAATAGCAAACATACAAGCAGACTGCAGAGTAGTGGATACAAAAATATTTCGAATCATGTAGAAAAACTGTTGAAAAGATCAAACGCATTATCCAGGATGTAGACATGGATGTGTCAGACACTTCATAAAGAGAAGAACACACCAGTGTGACCCTGGAGGGTTTACTGAAACCTCCATAAAAAGCTTCTGGAGTCTTATAGACAGGTGAGAGGAAGATTAACCTGTGCCAGTGATGGGAAGAGGAACTGAAAGAGCTGCTCTTGTTTAAAAAATACCACCACATCTGTGGCCACATGGTGCTGTTCACATAAATGATTCTTAGTAGAACAGTCATCACTTCCAAAAGTGGCAGTCAGCATTGTAAACTTGATTTTTATGATCTGGACACTTGCCTATATAAGGGCTGTCAAACGATTTAAAAAATGATGATTAGTCACAGTATTTGTGTAGTTAAACAATCTAATTTGCCTTTTTTTCTCAAATTTTACCATAAAGGATACATTTCCATTTAAAAAGCAGTGCATTTTGTTCTAGCTCAGTGAGTGGACAGAACAAGCTTCATCAAATTATATTTATTAGCTTTAGTAGTTTCTAATTTTCATCACCAGTGTCTAGTGAGAGCAGCAGTGGCTGCATGTTTCAGTCTGTGATTTTAGCTCTGTTTCAAGCGGAATTGGATCTTTCTATCTTGTTACTGATATTGCTGGTATTGTCGGCATCAGTACTGTTTTGTTTACTTCAGTCTCTGTGTCCTTCAGAAACTTATTCACCATGGCAGTAACTGGAAATAACATTTCAAGAGAGCAATCAGTGCAACCTCCTGCCATATAGAAGCTGTATTTGAAGAGGTCTACACTTGTGGAGCAATGGCAACAGCGTGTGAGAAGCTATGCTGGAACTAAAACCATAGCAAATACTCTTGCATTTTTGAAAGACTATGTTGGATGAGTTTGATGTATGTAAACCATGTTGAAGCTTCAAAATATAATGCCTACTCTGCAGTAAGCTGCTAATCTACCTCACTTTGAATTCATTGTTTTTGTGATGTTATAAAAACCAAGGTGCCTTTTTGCATTGAAATTATAAGGAGTGTTTCATATATATGTATAAATCAGGCATAACATTATGACCACCTTCTTGTTTCTATGCTCATTGTCCATTTTATCAGCTCCACTTACTATATAGGTGCACTTTGTAGTTCTACAGTTACAGACTGTAGTCCATCTGTTTCTCTGCATACTTTGTTAGCCCACTTTCACCCTGTTCTTCAGTGGGTGAAGGGTGGTGGATCATTCTCAGCACTGCAGTAACACTGACGTGGTGGTGGAGTGTTAGTGTGTGTTGCGCTGATCTGAGTGGATCAGACACAGCAGTGCTGCTGGAGTTTTAAAACACGTCAGTGTCACTGCTGGACTGAGAATAGCCCACCAACAAAAATATCCAGCCAACAGCATCCTGTGGGCAGAGTCCTGTGACCACTGATGAAGGACTAGAGGATGACCAACACAAACTGTGCAGCATCAGATGAGCTGTTGTCTCTGACTTTACATCTACAAGGTGGACTGACAAGGTAGGAGTGGCTAATAGAGTGGACAGTGAGTGGACACAGTGGAAAAAAAACTCCAGCAGCACTACTGTGTCTGATCCACTCGTGCCAGCACAACACACACTAACACACCACCACCACGTCAGTGTTACTGCAGTGCTAAGAATGATCCACCACCCAAAAAGTACCTGCTCTGTGAGGGTCCATGTGGGGTCCTGACCACTGAAGAACAGGGTAAAAGGGGGCAAACAAAGTATGCAGAGAAACAGATGGACTACAGTCTGTAGACAGATAATCAATCTTAAAGGCAAAGCAACAAAAACAGTCTGTTCAGTTTTAAATGGACCTTGGAGGGACAAAATGAAAGAAAAAAGTAGACCTTTTGAAATTCTTTGTCCAACAATACACATCCGAAAATCATTTATTCAGAATGGTTTGTTCTTGCCCAAAGGCAATGAAAATAGTTTTGCTTTATCTTTAGTCAGTCTACGACCGAATAGAGGGTATTTGTGTAGAGGGGACTGTTGCATTTAAGTGGGCAGCAACCTTCCAAATGATGCTGACATTTGTAGTTTTTAGCAGACTGCAAGGCTCAGCATATAAAGCCTCATGAAGCTGCTTGAGAGAATACCATTTTTTTGAGATATTTAAAAAAATCTTTATTATCACTGCATAAATCCAAAAGTTTCATATTTGATGTATTTAGTTTTATTCTAAAATTAGAAAATAAATAAGTAAATTTGTGAGTATGTCTAAACATTTGACCAGTAGTGAATTCAGTCTTCATCTTAACTGTTCAGAACTAACCAACTTAACATCTTTTTTATCTGTCTAGACCTCACTATAAAGTCAGCAGCTGTACTTCCCTTGGTGTCTCTCCATCTTTATCGTTAGGCAGTGTCGTCATCTGTATGATTAGCGAAATGGTGAATTGAATGTGTAGCAACTTTTCTGTTCTTAGCGCACACAGCCAAAGGCGTTATACTGAAGCTCTTCACATTTTTACACCCCATTAATTTATTACTCACTCTCTTTCTCTAATATCCATTCCCCTCTCTCTCTTTTTCTCTCTCGCTCTTCTCTTTCTCCCTCCCTCTCACTCTGTCCCCTTCTCTCTCTTTCTTTCTCTCCCCCTCTCACTTTGTCTAATATGCCTTTCTCTCTCTCTCCCTGCCTCCCTCTCTTTCTCTCGATCTTTTTCCTCCCTCTTTCTCACTTTTTCTTGCTCTCTTTTTCTCTCTCACTTTCTCTTCCCCTGTTCTCTATTTTTCTCTCTCTTCCTGCCCATCTTTCTCCCTCTCTCACTCTCTCCTTCTCTCTCTCTCTGTCTCTCTCTCGCTGTCTCTCTCTCGCTCTCGCTCTCCTCTTCTCTTTCTCCCTCCCTCTCTCTCTGTCCCCTTATCTCTCTCTCTCCCCCCCTCACTTTGTCTAATATGCCTTCCTCTCTCTCCCTGCATCCCTCTGATATCTTTATCTCAATCTCCTTTACCTTTCTATCTCTCTCTTTCCTTTTCTCCTACTCCTTGCCTCTTTCTCTCTCCTCTCTCTACCCCCTCTTTTTCCTCCCTTTCTCACTTTTTCTTGCTCTCTTTTTCTCTCTCACTTTCTCTGTTTCCCCCGTTTTCTATTTTTGTCTCTCTCTTCCTGTCCGCGTCTTTCGCGCTCTCTCTCACGCTCTCGCTCTCTCTCTCTTTCTCTTTCTCTTTCTCTTTCTCTCTCTGTGTCTCTCTCTTTCTGTTTCTCTGTCTCTCTCTAAATCTCTAAATTTCTTTTGGAAAGAAGAAAGAGGTCAAGAACAGAAAGAGAGAGAGGGGGGAGAGAGAGGAAGAGTGAGGGAGAGAGAGAGGGTAAAGACAGGACCTCCTGCTGCCGCTGCGTTTTTGCTCTTGATGTTAATTTTCACAGCTCCATATGGTGCTGCAGACTCTTCACCTACAGGCATCACACACATGCACACACACACACACACACACACACACACACGCACAGACACACACACACACGCGCACACACACACACACACACACAGTACCTCAGGCTTGTCCTGTCATTTATAACATCCCTAGCATCTGTGCTCTCTCTCTCTCTCTCTCTCTCTCTCTCTCTCTCTCTCTCTCTCTCTCTCTCTCTCTCTCTGTCTCTCTCTCTCTCTCTCTCAAACACTGGTACTCCTCTCTGTTGTGAGGATACAAACTCTCACCCATGTAAAGCTCCTTTTCTTCCTGAGATGGTTGAAGGTCAGAGGGTTATGGTGGTACGCTCGGATCGGCCTGAACTGCCTCTGTTCGCTTGTGTGCGTTTGTGTTTGTTGTCGTACGTGTGTGTGTGCATGTTATCCTGTCTTGTCATTGATTATAAAAGACTCTTTAATTCTGTCTCACCCCATGTTGGGATTAATTTGCATTCTTTGTCAGGAGTTAATGGCGTCTCTCAATGGCTCGCTCGGAGAATCTTTGAAGACTGCAGACTCGCTGGCATGTGTATACAGCCGCCGGCGCTTCTTCCCCTGATTGATTTGTTGTTGCCTTTTGTGTTCTCCGGCTGTTTCTGTTTCGGATCATTTTTCCCTTCATATTCACCCAAACGTACTGTATAAAATTGCTTTTCCTAAAGCCTCGATTTTGAAGACGGAATCCATTTTAGTAGGAAACGTTTAACTGGTTTTGTTTAAATGATAAAAGCCTCTTTGGTTATTTGTTTCTTCTCATTTCTGGATAGGAAGCGTTTTTTACTTTATCAATTATTTAATTCTAAAAATAAAATGTTTTTTTTCTCTTTTTTTCTTTAAGAAAAAAAAAGAAGGCCTGCAGTATAGCGCAACCAAATGCAGCGATTGTTGCTTTTTGAAGCTTCATCAATGGCTTATTTGTCAATCTTCGCCAACATCTGCTTATGTCACGCTGTCACCAAGGCCTAACAGCCAATTGTGCTTTTGTGGACTTTCATTGCAGACTGTTGTAAATAAGACTGGCTAAAAAAAATGTTCTTCGATTAGATCCAGAATTGAATAGCATTCCATGCCAGAATGACTAAAGAAAGAAATAACTTTAATTGTACTTCAGACATCAGTGTCAACAGTTGATGGTGCACTGTACGTCTTTGGGTATTTAAAAAGATCAAAGCGGTGTGTAGTTCAGAGTGAATCCTCTGCACTGACTCCTCTTCAGAAGGACCCTACACCAAGAACTATTCTTTTCAGCATGACAAGCAGGCCTGATCGGATCAGGAGAGCAGCGGCCTCCTGCTAGGATGAAAAATGCTGTTTCAGCTCAACTGCTGAACATGTGAAAATGTTGCAGGAAGTTGGTGTTCAGTCACCCTAATCAGACAAAAGCCCAGCATCCCTCTATCTCATCATATGTAACCAGATTATCCTGTTGCAGAGAATGCTGAAAACATTCTACGATGTTGGTTACTATGTTATTTACTTAATTTTCATCTGTATGATTGTGTTTTATGATGGAGGCAGTAGGCCAATTGCAAAGGTCACAAGTTGATTATCATTAATGTTAGACATAAGATACAGTCATGCGCAAAAATTTGAACATCCCCCGTCAGATTGCCTGTTGTATTGATTTTCAATTGCTAATCATGTGCTGAGCAAATATAGGCTGATTCTGCTTGCATGTATAATCTTTAATTGTATGATTATACATGCAAATAATGGGACACATCCGAGGACTCCGCTGCTGTTTTGCCACCATCCCAACTTGTCTATCTGCTAACATGTGCACCATTTATGCCCAAGACGCCGCTCCTGTTTAAGATGCACATCGCGCATCCACTTTTCCGATCCAGCATCTCTGTTCAACCTGGAGGCAGCATCGGAGGAGAATCGGCTCGTGCTGCGTTGCTGGGCTCCGCTAAATGAGGATCAGGCTATTAGCGCTTGTGTATTTTCATTATGCAAATGCTGTTAACACGTCGTGCCCGCTCATGGCCACCGGGCTTTTCAGCGCTTTCCCCTCAGTGATCATAAACGTGTCCTAGTGCGACGCTTGTGATTATAACATGCTAATTACATATTGCCTTGCGTCTTTCTTGCTGTCTCTGTGTTTATTTTTAATCTTCTTTTTCTGTGTTTTTCTTCCTGCAGATTCAGAAAAACCAAGGTTCCTTAATGGTAAGTATTTGATAAGGTTTTTTTGTTCATTTCTTTTTCAGAGATGAAGGTGACCCCTCCTTTATTTCTTTGGATAGTCATCCTTCGCCCCGCTTGGCTGCTTGCCTCTAAAGTTAATACAATAATACAACAATACGCCGGCACTTAACTGCCCTGCATTCCGATGAGAGGCCATTAGAAATAATAGAGCGTTCCGGATCCAATGGCTTTTTCTGTGTCTGAGTGCATTTGATTAATCTGAATCGCTACCTGTTTTGCTGCATTACCGATTTCATTTCCTTTGCACTGTAAGGAGATTGAGCGCAGTCTAATCTTCTTGTCTCTCCTCCCCCTCTCCACAGCCTCTCCAGTTATTGCAGTGCATCGTTGATGAGGTGAGTCTGCGTCTGATGTGCTGGAGCTCCTAAAGCCGTGGCTAATGGGGCAGAAAGCTGCTGTTTTGTTTCCTAATGAAGCAAGGTGTTTTAGCAGATCAGCTCAGAGTTTTGAGCTTGTCATATGCCAGAGGAGCAAAAAGCCACCAGGCCTCACTAAAACCAGGGGCTGGAGTGGTTAAGTAGGCAGGACTTGGGTTACTTGATGGACTTAAACCTGCACTGGGTAAAGTAGGGGCTGGTTTTAATTTGTCATGGTCATGTTTTTGGTAGGGATGCACTGATTTCTGACCGTTTCTGGGCCTATAACAATAATCGAAAATTAGCACCTTGTCATGACTAATGCCAGTAACCGATAATTTTATGATCCAAGACAAACTTCAAATATTAATTCATTTTTATATAGCCATTATGTAGATAAATCTGACTTCACCATCACTGTAAACCTTTATGCATTAGCAGAAGAAATGGTAGGTGAAGTAAGAGTCTTGTCCAAGGACTCTTATTTGTATAGCAATCAGTTTCCAATAGGAGAATTTGGTGCTAGTGATTGTGTGTGGGAATGACTCAGGTTGCTTGACAAATGGGTAAATTTCCAGTCTCTTCTAGGTTTTTGATGTTAACATTTCATCCAACAGTTTGTGGTGGGTCAGTTTGTATGCTCCTTCAAAGCAGGTGGTTCCTGGTCACATTGAGCAACGAAACATTCTAATGTTACAATGAGCGACTAAACATTGTATGACATATTACATATTCTTACACAGCCTAATGAAAACACAGTATTGGATTGCTACATGGCTGCTAACATTCTATTGTTTTTGTGATCTTTGTGGCCACTGCTGACTTAAAGTCTGATATATAGAAAAAGTGTAATAGACTATTACTGCACACCACAAAGTGCACTTTTGTGTACTGTTCTAGAAACATTGGCCACCTAAAACTTCTTTTGAATACATTATTTCCTTCCACATATAGTCCTACATTCACTAAAGAACATGCATTTTCATGAAAATGTGTTTTATACTCTTGTTATTTGTACCTTGAGTGAACAGTTTTACCAGACATTGTGCCTGACAGGACTTTAATTTGGAGTCTTTTCTGGTCAAAACTACTGTTTGCCTGCTAACTGAAACTGATATCAGTGACATGTCTGCCTGAATGGGAAATTGAACCTCAGTATGTGTGTTGGTGGTATATCCACTATGCTATCCATTCAGTGAGTTTGAAAAGTACAGAAATGCCCACTGTCCAGATGGGTTATCTGTTGTAATTATCAGCAGTAATTGGACCTGCTAATAATGGTAATAATAATAGAATTTATTCATTTATTCACCAATAATGTATCAGCCACTGATATTGTGCGCTCCTCTTTTTTGGTGATGAGTGACATAAAATTCCTCACTGTTTCTTTGTCAGAGTCTCTTTTACTTCTACTCACTCACTCTTTCCTATGTCTCTGTCTTTCTTGCCCTCTTTATCAACAGCTGTGTCTGTATCTGTCTCACTCTTCTTCACTCTCTCTCTCTCTCTCTCGCTCTCTCTCTCTCTTTCACTCACTCACTCCACACAGTTTGCTGGGGTAATGTAGCATGACCAGGCTTCAGAGCACAGAGTCTGTGTGGTGTTGCATTAACCTTGACCTGCGCTAGGCACTAAAATACACCCACCTGAAACCTTGACACACTTCCTCACCCCCATCTCTCTCTGTGTTAGCCAGGGTGAGGGACAGTGAGTCCATATATTCCCCTACACTGGACAAGCTCACCGCTTTATATTCTGCTGCGCTTAGGCATGAGTGAGTTAAGACAGTCACTTGAATCTAAAACCAAAGCAACCTGAAGCTGGAACTGAGTGTAGTGGAATCTGACTGGCTAAGGCCTGTTTAGCCAGCAATTGCAGCATTGACCCAAGCAGAATGTATTGATGGGCATTTGGAGTGATTTTGTCGTGGGGTACTCTAACATAAAAAAAGCAAGTAATTAATTACTTGAAAATAAAAATCTGTCTGACACAGTCCATATTGAGCTGAACTTCCTTTCCTTTATTATATGTTAAATTAGGTAACATCTTAAAAAACAACAAAAAAAACTTTTATTTAATCATCCATATGCTAGCTAGTCACCAGTAGCAGGTAGTTGGCTGCTCTGCACACTGAATACCACTTTGTTTCATGGGTGTGTTTTTGTTATAGTACTGCAGAAAGTGTTTGGTTGTTTTGCATGTCTGTTAGGCAGCCCCTTCCTGTCAAAAAGGTTTTTGACTGTGTTGAGCAGTGAAACCTAAAAGAATCACTGGCATCAGCCAGAAATCTGACTTGTGAACCAACAGGAAAGATAGCCTAGTGACACTGCTGTGCCGTGGACTCAGTAGTAACTCAGACATTCACATGAGATATACATTGCGGTTTTTCAGACGTCTTATTCTGCGTCTGCCGTTGCAGAGACAGAAAGGATCCAGTGTTACATTTCCAGCGTGTTGTTCTCAGTTACCTACTGTCTGCTTTACTAATTGTTAATTGAGGTTTTGAGATTTAAAGGCAAGACAATAGAAAGTCATCCATCAGTAGGTACACAATGAACACTCATCAGGATTTCCTGCTTTAGCTGAAGGTGAATATTGTAAGTACATTAATACTGTAAGATTTAAATGTGCTTTCCTCATCTGTGTGAGTGATTAATAAGTAATTTTGTTAATTGCAAGTAAGTGCGTGTATGTGTGAGAGAGACCTCTCTCCTCTCCGCTCGAGCAGCTCGCTGACATGTGCTAATAGCAGAATGGCAGCAGGGAGGGGAGGGGAAAGCAGCATAAACACACATTAAACATACTGAACTTGTCCTTTTCTCTTATAGATTGAGCGTAATTAATAATTAAACGGCGACCGGTGTAATGGGTTGACCCAGCTGAACTGTTCATTACTCAAACGGCGGAGGCATCACTCAAACTATTTTCTGCCGTGCCCTTCCCTTCAGCACCCCGAGGCCAGGGAACACTGCCTTCGCTGCTGCTGCTGCCGCCACCTACTTTCAGCTGACCAAGACCTTATTACACACACACTCACAGAGCAGCCACTAAATTACAGCTTTGACCGAATATGAGTGAGTGAGTGAGTAAGTGAGTGAGCCACACTGTCTGGAGAGACTCTGTGGGACCCACTTTAAAAGAGTAATCCAGTACAGAAGGAGAGCGAGAGCAGGAGAGAGACTGGCTTAAAGAAAGAGAAGAAAAGTAGAGGGCAGAAGGAGAGAGAGTGAAAGGCAGTGAGATAGGAGAAACTTATCTGGGTGAGTGAGAGAGCTAAAAGGCACCTGAGTCTTCAGAGGAAGAGGAGAGGGGGGACTGTGAATTGGCAAAAGAAAAGCAGGGAGTGAAAAAAGGGAATCAATACAGTAAAGGGAAAATATTGTATGATTTAGTTTTGCAGTTTGCCTGAACCTTGTATTTGGAACATTTGCATGTACATCAGTCATCAATTTCCAGCAAAACAGACTTGGAGGAGTGTGTGTGTGTGTGTGTGTGCGCGTGCTGGTAGTGTACCCCAGGAATCTCAAACTCAAATTATCAGGGGCAACTAGCCAAGTAGGCCATCTGAAAACATCCAGGGGAAAAGTGTCCCATGATATTTTTTTCAAGTATGAATTTTATCTACATAACATACACTGACCAGCCATTTCATTAAGTACACATCTGCACTCTGTCCATTTTATCAGCTCCACTTATCATGTAGTTGCGCTTTGTAGTTCTGTAGTTACAGACTGTAGTCCATCCGTTTCTCTACATAATTTGTTAGCCCGCTTTTACCCCATTTTTCAATAAGCAGGACCACCACAGGACCACCATAAAAACGGCGTTGGTGGATCATTCTCAGCACTGACTTGTCTCAGATGTGGTGGTGACATGAAAACAGTCATTTGAGTGCATTTTTGACAGTGTTTATTAGCAATTGTTCCACAAGTCTACTACTACTGCTACTGTTACTAATATTAATAATAATGATAATTATTATTGTTAGTAATTTATTGTTCCTGCTAAAGACAAGTGAAGTTATTGCAAGTGAAGTGTTGGTAAAGCAGTTAAATCTGAGTTCTCAGTGGATTTGTTCGACAACTCTATTCATGTCTTAATGCTGACATGCTTTATCTACTGCTGGAAAGAATCCACAGTGCCAGATTAAACTATCTGTCTAAATTAGAGTTATATATTGTTATAGCTAAACAACAGTCATGTCCGCTCAGTGTGCAGCATTCATGCTGCATCAGGTTTTCGTCTGAGTGATTCCTCTTATGTGCTGCACTCTATTTTTGCCTTTTACATTTTAGACATCTGTCTTAGCTGATTTTGTGATTTTATACAGCTAATGTTAACCAGCCACCAGTGTTTGGTTGGTAAAGCAGACCTGTCAGATGTGAATTAAACCAAAGAAAAACTATATATATAGCGGGCTGGATGTAATGATAAATTGTAAATATCTGATGGGCCGTATGCTGCCTTGATATGGCCTGCAGGCCGGAAGTTCGAGACGTCTGGTCTACACTGTGTTTGTTTATGTATTCCAGAGGTCTTCAAATCTGGACCTTGAATCCAGCTTCTGGTCCCGGATCTTGTATTCACTGGTGATGACATATGAAACTAGGTGGCCAATCACTTACATCAACAGTTCAATTAAACAGGGGTCCAGGACATGCTGCACTGGATTGAACACAATTAGCAATGCCCTAAATGCACTTGCACAGACCCTATTATGCTCTTTTTATAGTTAAACATGCAATTGATCAGTATCCACAATTTGCTCAGGAAAGCATGATGTTCATCATGATAAATTTTATTACGATAATGATAAAATATCGTCATGTTCCAGTGCACCATGGACCTGTTGTGCATGTGTTTAGGACTGCAACTATCAAATAGTGTTATTCTATCATTTTTTCTTGAATGTTCAAATGTTCTCTGAGAAACATGAAAAGCTCAGGATTTTTTTTTTTTTTTACTGAATGGGACTTTTT